GTCCCAAGAAGAGGATTCGGATTGGCACTCCTACCAAGAGTTCCACGCAGACTCAGGGAGCGACAGGCACTATGTCTCGAGGGCAGATCATGGAACAGATTGCGGCCATGACGGAACAGCTACAGGCTCTTCAATCCCTTCTCCAATCCCCGGAGTTGCAGGCACAGGAAGAACAGATGGAAGAGGACATTGCGGCGTCCTCCCTTTTCGAAGATGATGGGTTCCCCGGTCAGCCTTGACTAGGGGCTCACCGCGCAGATATGAATGGAGGCTCCTTTCCTCAGGAGCTGGTTTCCCGTTTACTGTACCGTATTCTCTCCTTAGTTGGAGGTATGACAAGTGAGGTCTTCCTTGGTACTTGGAATCTCAACAGCCTCTCGGACAAGCTCAATATGGTTCTCAGCATGGGGTTTTCCATCCTTGCTTTACAAGAAACCCGTATTGACTCTCGCAAAGCTCAATTGTTTGCTAACTCGGCCGACTCTTCAGGTTACCAACTCCTGTTTGGCAAGTGCCCGGTTTGGAAAAAGAAAGGCTGCGGCAAAGTTGGTCTGCATCACAAGCAGTGCCCTGGAGTTGCAATCGCTATCAAGAAGGAGATTCCGGCCCACGTGGGCCCGTCACCTGCAAGGATGGAGTACTGGCACGAGCAGGGAAGATTCCTGGCTGTCAACTTCTTCGACGGTACCACTTGGAGGACGCTTTGGAATGTTTATGCTCCTGATGACCCGCAGAAGAACTTCCAGTTCCTGCGGGACCTCGCCGCCGATGCGCAGGAGGTACAACCTCACTCCATTGCTGGAGACTTCAATAGTCCACTACAGTGGGGGTCGGACATGGACATCCTCTTCGAGGACTTATACTCCAAGTTGACGGACATGCTTGGTCCCGATCCTTACACTTTTCAGAGAGCTCAATCTAAAACAAAGATTGATGACATTATTTGTCACAAAGACGTTAGAATGGAATTCGGCCCTCCAATCACGTTTTTCCCCTACGATAATGGGCACGCTATCATCTCGACCAAGCTCAATTGGAACGCTGAGGTGCATCAATACTTGCAGATTGAAGGATATCACATCAACGAGCAGTGTGGTAATCACGCCGAAGTGTGGGATGAGTTGCAAGATGAATGGTGTGTGGCTTATGAGAAATTTGATGTGGATATGTGCTGGTCCATCTTCGCCTCGACTATGTTTCGTTTCTGGAACGGCCACACCAACTTCAAGAGAGTCCCTGGCCTGGGAGTCAAAATGCATTGGGAAAACCAGCAGAAAGAGATTTTTCACAGGAAGCTTATTGCTCAATCCAGTGAAGCACAGGAGCACGAAGAAATCCGGGAAGCCCTTCTTGAGCTGGGTCAACCCTCACTTGACAAACTTCAAGCCTGGAAGCACAGAATGCAGCAGCCTGGCGACAAGTCCCAGAAGAGTAAATGGATTGGAGACGTTTGCAAATGGGTCAGGGCCCCGACCCGCAAGCCCCCCCCTTTTATCAAAGCAAACGATGGCTGGACCAAGACCCCTCAAGAGACAGTGGATGTCATCCGCGACTTCTTCGCTACGGTTTTCCAGCATGATGACCAAATGTCCTGGGATGTGGGCAATGCCAACCACGAAGTCCCTGCAGATATGTGGAATGTGAAACACCTCAATCGGATCCTCAGAAACGGGAAAGGTGTCTCGTCGCCGGGGCTAGGTGGTTGGACCTACGCGCATTTCAAAAAGCTTCCGCCGAGGGGCGTGGATTTCCTGCACAGTCTTTTTATGCTTTGCGTTATTTGCGGAAGGGTTCCCAAACATTGGCTTAATGCTAAACTTGTGGTTATTCCAAAAGGTGATGCCGGCTTTGATCTCGATGCCATGAGACCCATAACTATTGAAGTCACGGCTCTACGCATTTTCCACAAGTGGCTTTTGAAATGTGGTGAAATCACCTTCGACAACCTTCCTGAGAACATCATTGGGGGTGTACCTCAGCGCAGTGGGTATCAGGCATGGCTGCACGCCTCTCTATCTGCTGAGAAATGCCAGAATGAGACGCACCTCTCATATCATGGTGTGGCAATCGACACGGTCAAGTTCTTTGATTGTATCCCGCATTGGCTTGCTTGTCATGCCTTATCCGAATGGGGTATGCATCAGGCGGCTGTTGGCACCTGGATTCATTCCATCAGGCACATGAGGAGATTCGTTTCCACCTCCGGCATAGTAGTAGGTAGACGGCCTGTTGTTGGGACGATCGGGTTGCCTCAGGGTGACCCCATCAGTATGGCCGCCGCTAGCCTGGTGCTGGCGGTTTGGTCAAGAGATCTCAACAGCGCTGTGTACAATTATGTTTATGTGGATGATAGGCTTCTTTTCACGGAAGGTGACTCGAGTGAACTCCAACATGCCTTTGGACGTACCGAGGCTTGGGATACACGTCATAATTTCCGCACGCAAATTAAGACTTGTCAAATCAGAGATGTGAAGAAGTCCACACCGCTTTGTTGGCGGGATGGACAAGTTGTCAAGGAAGTCAAATCGGTCGATTACCTTGGTGTTCCCCTGGCCATTGGGCTCTTTTCATCTAAGACTTGGTTTGAAAAGAAAATACACAGAGCTATTACCGCGCTGCAATTGCTTGCAAGGGCCAACCAACCTGCGGCCACCACCAATATGATTGTCCGCACGGTCATTATTCCCATGCTTACGTATGCAGGCGCTACACTGAGACCGACTAAGGATCAGCTCAGGCAGCTTCGCACAGCTATTCGTACAGCGGCACACGGAAGCAAGCTTGGGACCTTTTCGGCCCGAATTCTGTTTCAGAAAAACTACTTGCTTATGGACCCTGAGTTTTTCTTTGTCTGGAGAAACCTGCTCTTCTGGAACAATCATGCCTTCAAGAGGCCCGCCTTCAAGGATGCTGTGATTCAGAGCTGGGAGAAAGTTCTCCCCTCTATCAAGAAGATTGGCCCTGTTTCCCAGCTTAAAAAGGATTTGGAGTATTTGCAGCTTCATTTGAACATTGACAACTTGCAAGTTAGCAACAATGAGGGTAGACTGCTTTGGACCTTTGGATGTAGCGACTGCAAAGTTCTGAGCAAGGCTCTTAGTCATTCCTTCCGTAACAAGATTGCCTCTGATTTGGAACAATGCAACTCCTCCTGTTGGAAGGGGATCGGCAACCACGATTTCGGCACAACCACTGCGCTTCTTCACTTATTGCCTGAAGGGCACCCTGTGCAACAAAAGCTCATTCGAGTGCTGATCAACGGGATTAATTCCTTCCACATGCAATTTGTCAAGAAGTTCACTGATACACCAGAGTGCAGAGAATGTAGACACCATGACGCTACTCTGGCGCACCTGTTTTGGGAATGCCCTTTTTGGGCCGACCTGCGCAGTCAATGGGATGAAGGTTGGGAATCCTGGTCGCAGTGGAGCCCCTGTTCGCAACACCTTCTTGTGTTCTGCAAAGACCTGCCCCCTAGGCTTCAGGCTAAATGGGGTACGATTCAACGACAAGCGGTTGACCTCCTTGGTAAATGGGAAGCTCGTCACCGCGATCTCCGTACGATTGATTACAACATTCAGCTTGATCATGCTCCGGTACAGTCTGATCGTGCTGATCGACAGCACGCTCAGCCGGAAGATATCTATTTGCTCAGCTCCCCCTTCCACAGCCACGTTGTGTTTAAGAGGGGACAATTCTTGACTATTGACCCTGATATGATGGCGGTCAAAGCCAACTTATGGTACTGGGGTGGTTGTATTGAAGACTTCCACCTTCTTCGGGGTATGCTTGACTGGTGCATTTTTGACAAAGGCAAAGCTGAAGCCCTCTCAAGAAGGCATACTTGGATTGAGGCCTTGCTGCTCTTCATCTTTATTGCAGGGGACAAAGCGCCTTTCCTGCGGAAGATTAAGACTGCTCGCGAGGCCCAGTGGAAGATCCGGATGTTATGTATGGGTATTCTCAAAATGCAAGGGATTCCAATTGATGCTGAAACCGAGCCGGACATGTTGGAGCTTTGTCAATCTTGGCCTCCGCTGCCGACGTTGCCCTTCGGGCTGATGCTTCCACGGCACGACGGCATCAACATTGGACTGAAAGTTCTGGTCAACTTGAATGAGGAATACCTTATGCTGGGCAAACCGCTGCGTAAGCTTTACGTCACAATGGATCAGGTTGGCGCATCTATCACTTGCTGGAGGTATTCGCCTGTGTTTGCCTCCCTGGTGGTTCGATCTCGTCTGAATGATAAGATGGCGGGCCCGGTTCTTCCCGGCTTGAACCAGGTCCATGACCGCCCTTGCACCGATTTTGATGCCCTGACTTCCGTTCAGGAACGTCTTGATGCCTGCAAGGTCCTCTTGAGAGAGTTTCTCCTTGAGAAGGTGCCTCTCGACTTCCTTTCCAGGTTAGACGCCGACCAACTGCGTGAAGCACTCGGAAACTCCTCTGTGCGAAGACTTCGGTTTTGTATAGGTCGAAGGAAACATCTTATGACCGGATGGGCCAGTCGTCTGGCCGGTGCCCCCGGGCTCTCCCACTGCTATGGCGCCGATTGGGACCCTTGCGAGCCGCGTTGTGTGCTCTGTGGTTACACAGTCCCCTGGACGAGGCTCGGCAGGCTTCGCCGGATGCCCCCGTGCAAGGTGCAGTATTCTGAGTTTATTCTGCCTGCGGCCTGTGAGGCAAGAGTCGCTGAACTTTCCTCGCAGGTCGGCACCCTTGTGGCCCTTCTTTCGCTTTTAGGGTTCACTCCGTGACTCCCAGGCAAAGCCCTGGAGGATAGACAGCGCCGCTACCGCCAGCCACAATCAAAGCCTGGGTAGATGAAGGTTGGCAAGGGCCAATCCCAACCACAAATAGCTGCGGCCGCCTTCTTAGTTCTTTACATGGTTCTGGGTAGACCATTTTAGTACCGGGTTTTGATTGTGACTCAGTTGCAACTTCCCTTGGTTCCTGACCTTCCCAGAAACCCCAGCGAGAGATCGCTGTCGTCTTAGGAACGACTCTGCACTGGCTCTTTGGTGCGGGAGCTGGAACGCAAGGAGCCGGGCAAAAAGATGCTGAGCCATGGGCCCTTTGAAGCCTGTGATTTGGGTTTGCTTTCTTTCAATTATTGTTTTGGTTTAATTGTTTTGTGCCTCAGAAGGGCCTGTTCCGGCGTGTTGTTGTTTTGTTCCTTTCGGTTTTTACCTTTGTGTTTGTTTTGCTGGCTATCCTTTTTGTTTTCTTTACACAGGTCCTTTGTGGCTGGCGTTTGGGGAGGCACATGAGCATGGATTGCCTGACTTGCCAGAAAATATTCTGAGCAAATGAGCAAAGGGCAGGTGTCCAAAGCCTTGCTAGCTTAGATTTCCCTTTTGCTTTCCTTGTGAGGCGGACCCCGAGGCTCAGTTGTTTGACACTTCAGGTAAGTGCAGAACAAATGCAAGCCAAGTCCAGTGGATTACACCTGAGCCACCTGTTCAAAACCCGGAATTTCAGGTATGAATAGGTGTTGCATACCGGCCCTCTTGATTCTGTCCATGATGCTGAGTAGACATTTTAGGTTTTGATTGACTCCCTTCAGCTTGTGGACCGAGTCCCATTTCCCTTCAGAATCAATCGGTAGCAGAAGCTGTGCCTTTTGTACCATGGCCATCGGGCATAGTTACCAAAGGTGTTGGGGAGACACAAAAGGCCTCACAAGAAGAACAGATGTGGGGCCTGCTGGTCTTATTGGTCAAACATGATTGGGATTGTGTTTGTCCAGTTCAGCAATGAAGGTGCATGTTTCATGGTGTACTTTAAAACTTCAAACTGCCGCAACATGTCAAACAGTTGTGAGGCAAGGAAGGATGGACAGTGCAGATTGTGCCCACAGGGGGCAGCATTAGCTACCAGCCATATGATCCATGTATGGTCGGAAGTGTCATCAGCGTATTCTCAACAAGGAGCAAGATCAGCTGTGTCTCATGTATTCGTTTGACTTTTGCCTTTTTTGTTCTCCTTCTTTTCTGTTTCAACCAGCAAGCAGTTAGCTTAACTTTTGGCAGGATTGATGTTTGGCCAAGATAGGAGTTCGTCTCCAAATCCCCGAAGAGAAACCACAATTGGGCGGTGTCCCTTTGCTTTCCCTTTGGTATCCCCGCATGGTTGTTTGTTGGGAAACATTTTGCATTCTTGCTTATTGTGGTTTAGTGGGAAATCCCCACTTAGCTGCTAAAAATTAAGTTTTTGCTCCCCTTCAACGTCAACCAAGCCTGCAAAACATGCCCCAAAAAGGCTATGAAGCAGCTTGAGGAGCAGCGGCTCCGGTTCCAGCGGCTGACTGGCTCCGGCCCGGAGAGCGGATGGGTGAGCATTAGCCCCTCGACTGGGGGGGCGGGGCAGCTCTCAGTGGAAAGACGGGGTTTCTGAAAGGAAACAGTTGGCATCATTCTGTCGAAGTTTTGACCTCACCTGTACCGGCTGTTTCAAAGGGTTCCGACATGTAGGTGAGTTTGAAGTGTATTTTTAGGGGCCCTGAAAAGGACCTTACGCAGTAAAGGTGCCCCTTTTTGCGGTTGTTTGACCAACGTGAAGGATTCCCGAGGGCCCCACTTCCATGGAGGCTGGCTTAGTGGCTTGGATGGGCTAGATCGGGACGTTGGACAAGTGGAGTTTGGTGAGGGAGGCTTGGTGGAGTCAGGGTAAAAGGATCAGAAAGACAACCGCAAACGATTCCTCGTATCTTGTTGCACCAAAGCACTATATGTTTCTTGTTGAACATATCCGCACTTTGTGGCTAGTTTGTTTCTCCGCAGAAGGACAACACCTGAAGGTATTGCTCGATGACGTGAATCGAGAGGCTCGGCCAGGCCCTTCGTTCTTCGGAGGGGCTTGGAACAAGCCGGCAAGCCTTCTTCGAGACCGAGATCATATAAGGGGCTCAAATGTTGGCCACATGTTACAATGATTCTCCCATCATGACGAGGTGTTGCTGTGAAAGCACCCTACAGCGCAATTCCAATTATAATGCCCGATGAGTGTTTCTCAAAATGGTGGACCCCTTTTGGTTGGCAGTTAAAGGAAAACCAAAACCCCGGCCAGGTGATTCTACTACCTGGTCGAGTTGGGGTTATAGTAATCCCTATACATATATATATGAGCCACGGACAAAACACACGAAGACCACTTTATCAAGGCGGGGAACGCTTTTGCAAAGCACATGCCAAAACCATGGAAAACGATAAGGTCTCCCCCAAAAACGATAACCCTTAGCTAACACACGGATCTATAATAACCCCTGCAGTTGCAACTTAGCTAGGGTGGGACCCTTGCGTGGCCACCGTAAAACAAGAAGGCGAGTCGCCACTTTCGAGCTGGAGCTGCCAAGGTGTGCTTCGTAAATACGACACTTGTACTGAGAAGTTGCGATTTTCGAGCTGGAGCTGCGGAAGTGTACTTCGCGTACTAGACTTGCACTACAAAGTTGCGATTTTCGAGCTGGAGATGCGGAAGTGTACTTCTCGTACTAGACTTGTACTACAAAGTTGATTTTCGAGCTGGAGATGCGGAAGTGTACTTACTAGACTGGTACTACAAAGTTGCGATTTTCGAGCTGGAGATGCGGAAGTGTACTTCGCGTACTAGACTTGCACTGCAAAGTTGCGATTTTCGAGCTGGAGATGCGGAAGTGTACTTCTCGTACTAGACTTGCAGTACAAAGTTGCGATTTTCAAGCTGGAGATGCGGAAGTGTACTTCGACTAGACTGGTACTACGGAGATGCTGTACTTCTCGACTAGACTGGTGCGTTGATTTTCGAGCTGGAGCTGCGGAAGTGTACTTCGCGTATTAGACTTGTACTACAAAGTTGCGACTTTCGAGCTGGAGCTGCGGAAGTGTACTTCGCGTACTAGACTTGTACTACAAAGTTTCGATTTTCGAGCTGGAGCAGCGGAAGTGTACTTCGCGTACTAGACTTGTACTACAAAGTTGCGATTTTCGAGCTGGAGATGCGGAAGTGTACTTCTTGTATTAGACTTGTACTACAAAGTTGCGACTTTCGAGCTGGAGATGCCTTGTACTACAAAGTTGCGATTTTCGAGCTGGAGATGCGAAAGTGTACTTCGCGTGTACTACAAAGTTTCGATTTTCGAGCTGGAGCTGCGCAAGTGTACTTCGCGTACTAGACTTTTGCTACAAAGTTGCGATTTTCGAGCGGACGTGTACTTCGCGTACTAGACTTGTACTACAAAGTTGTGTTTTTCGAGCTGGAGATGTGGAAGTGCACTTCGCGTAAGACTTGTACTACAAAGTTGCGATTTTCGAGCTGGAGATGCGGAAGTGTACTTCGCGCACTAGACTTGTATTACAAAGTTGCGATTTTCGAGCTGGAGATGCGGATGTGTACTTCGCGTACTAGACTTGTACTACAAAGTTGCGATGTTCGAGCTGGAGCTGCGGAAGTGTACTTCGCTTACTAGACTGGTACTACAAAGTTGCGATTTTCGAGCTGTGGAGATGCGGAAGTGTATTTCGCGTACTAGACTTGCAGTACAACGTTGCGATTTTCGAGCTGGAGATGCGGATGTGTACTTCTCGTACTAGACTTGTACTAAGTGTACTTTACGTACTAGACTGGTACTACAAAGTTGCGATTTTCGAGCTGGAGATGCGGAAGTGTACTTCGCGTACTAGACTTGTACCTCAAAGTTGCGATTTTCGAGCTGGAGCTGCGGAAGTATACTTCGTACTGCAAAGTTGCGATTTTCGAGCTGGAGATGCGGAAGTGTACTTCGCGTACTAGACTTGTACTACAAAGTTGCGATTTTCGAGCTGGAGCTGCGGAAGTGTAGTTCGCGTACTAGACTTGAACTACAAAGTTGCGATTTTCGAGCTGGAGATGCGGAAGTGTACAAAGTTGCGATTTTCGAGCTGGAGATGCGGAAGTGTACTTCTCGTACTTTGTACTACAAAGTTGCGACTTTCGAGCTGGAGATGCGGAAGTGTAGTTCGCGTACTAGACTTGTACTACAAAGTTGCGATTTTCGAGCTGGAGATGCGGAAGTGTGCCTCGCGTACTAGACTTGTACTACAAAGTTGCGATTTTCGAGCCGGATCTGCCAAAGTTCGAAAACACTGTAAAACGATAAGGTCTCCCCCAAAAACGATAACGTTCAAAAAAGTACTAGGGCCAAGTAAAGTGTTTCGTCCGCTCCTCATATATATATGTACATAAATTAATATATATATATACAAGGAACCAAGAATGACAGGTTTTTTGGGACTGCTCACTTGTTTGGGAGGTCTCAGAGACGCAGGCCACATGTAGCTGCAGAAGGCAGATAGAGCAGTCATCGCAACATGTTTGCTTTCCTTTTGGTTCCCCTTTCAAAGCAAATTCTTCAGGGCTCACCCGTGCCCGATGTTCTTCTTGGCTTCCCGGCTTCCCTCTCGAACCCGCCGATTTTTCGTTTGGGACCCCGAGGTCTGCAAGACGGGCAGGCGCTGCTGCAGCTGCTGGACTGTGAAACCGCCGAGCAGGACCTTCGCTTGGCTTTGCCTTGGGAGGGGAGACGGACATGGGTTTGTTTTATAGGAAACCCCGAAAAAGGTTGGTTCCCTTTCACCTTTCCCGGTTTAAAACACGGAACCAGAATGTCCCGTGCAGTGGACACCAGGGCAAAATGGAGAGGGCCGGGTTGGGATGGTCTTACAAATGTAGGGGTTGTGGGCCCCAAGCCCCAAGGAATACACTCGCATCTTTTTCTTGAGCCATGAAGCGAATTCAATTCGGGGCCGCGAGCATATAATGAATGATCAATGATCGTCAGTGAGGCTGGCGCGTCTGATCGCGAAGGTCTCCCGGTGCACCTCCCAAAATATTTGAAGACACCATCAGCTACTCTGAAGACCCCTCTTTCAGTGCATGGTAGATCCAGAGCTCCTCACCTCCGCCCACTCCCGCGGCTTCCGTCGCTTGCCACATCTCACTTCAGCCCAGCCCGAGGACAGGACGATGACAGGGTTGTGGGATCAAGGGGTTTACCCCCACTTCCGTGACAGATGGGAATCTCCCCCTTTCTTTGGGGGGTTAGTCTTTGGGAAGCCCTTTTGTTGTATAACAGAAGTGGTCGTTTCCCAGAGCCCTGATGACACCAGTTGCCATTCTCATCCCAGCCGCACGGCCCCGGAAACCTTCCCGCAGCTCCACTCTCGCCAGTTTCTGGCTCTCCGAGCTCCTTCTCCATTGGTGTCCAGCTCCCATGAGGCTCTTCTTGACCTCGCTCCAGAATTCTTCACACTGCCTGTCTGCGGGTGTGGCCCACCTTGCCCGCAATGGCCTCCTTCACCCGCTTCGCAGCTGCCCTGCCCTTGTTGCTGGCGGGCTCATTCACCTCTGCACCATCGCCCCTGTTCAGGCTATGTCTCCTTCTCCGCATATCCAGATCCATGACACCTTCCTGGAACAACCTAGCCGTTGGGCTCACAACCTAAACCAAACCTGTGGCGAAGAAAGTGTGCGCCACTTTATCGTAAGTATGGATGACAGAGGTGCGGCATTTGACTCCCAACATGGTTTTGGGTGGAACCCGCATCAGACTTGGCTATGACGCGCGAGGCCTCTTGCACAACTGGAGCTTTCTCGTAGCGTAAAACTTAAGAAGGCTTGAAGCTGAAGTGCCAACGTCAAAATCAACACATATGTTAGCGGTCATATATATATATATATACATATATATATATGTATATTATTGTCCTAGACATTCGTAAGGGATGCTTCCCCTGCAAGACAAGACCTGAGGGTGATCAAAACTCAAGGGGGTTGTAAAGCCAACTTACCATCCAAAAGCCGTCCCCAGAAAGAGGGCCAAGGTTCATTCGTTGTCCATGGCCAGGCTGAGGCGAGATCTGTCTACAATGGTGTTGACCTGGAGATCCGCTTGCGCAACGAGGACCAAAGGGGGGGGGAGGGGAAGCGGGGAGGGGAGACCGAGAAGCCCGACAAGCTGCGCTGAAACTCAGATTCAGTGTATACTGTGCAAGTTAGATAGTACCCATCGAACACAAGGCAGCTTTACCTGTAGATGTAGAGGTTGGGCATGCCTGATGCCGCTCATGCCACATTATTTGCAGGACATGCGGTTTACCCGAAAGTCCAGTCTCACTTGTGGCTCCTTGGCACCTGCATGTGAGGTGCAATCAACATTTTCAGTAGTCTGCGGTGCATTCTGGAGAAACATTGAGGACTTTCACATGGGCTTGTCTTGTTGACGGAACCATGAAAATGGCAGGGGTCCTGTTGGTTTCCCTTTAAACCACTCAAAAAGCGGTGTACTCCCAAAAAATCGCCAACGCGTGTCGTTTGGAAAGGAGAAGAGCTTCTCCTACGAGGACCTGGGGCTATGGGTGCCCTTGGCCGCGGCAGTGGCCAAGCTCTGGCGGGAGAAGAAGCCCTTTCTGCCCACCAGGTGAGCGTGGGGTCGGGTCCGGGGGGGTCCATTTCTTGAGACTCCGTGCCTGGGAAACCCCGAGCCGCGAGTTGGGGTCGAGCGGTTTAACCTGTTAAATGTCTGATTTTTAAGGAGCGCCTAAAATAAAGGTTAACCCTGTTATAGGTACCAGACACCGAAGGGACCTGAGCCTTCCCAGGCATCTTTTCAAAAATGGGTCGGTGGACACGAATGAATGATGTCCACGAAAGGGTCCCCGATGCAAGTCTGGTGTGTTTGAAACCAAGGAACCCCAACCAAAAGGATTTCATTAATCCCACCAAGCAAGGACATTCTCAGAGGTAGCTACAGGTTTTATATGGGTTGTGCAGGGTTCCATGAAACAGTGGCGTTGGGCTCCGTTAGCGCCTCAGAGCCGCCGCAGGCTAGGGTTCCAAAAAGGGTTGCTGTGAAAGCGCCGAACTTGTGAAGCTGCACTTGTGCACCGTACACGCCTTTTGCTTCCGGTAGTCGTAAGACGTAGACAGCCTATACACTGCGGCAATCCACATGTTGGCCACACAGATGGTGCTACTCACTAACCCTTTTCCAACAATCATGGAAGCTGTTCTCTTGAAAAGGCCGCCCGTCCGCTTCCATCGTTACCAACAGGGTACCAGAGGAATCCATCGTGGAAACCGGATGGCTCCAATTCTGTTTGACTCTGAAACAACCAGCGCAATCCATTTTTTCCCCCAAAACCCCGGTGCAAGGTCCGTCAAGTTTTCCACCAGGCCTCCAAATGAATCCAGGCCGAGCAACAAATGCGCCCCGAGCTTCCAGGATGGCGCGGCCATTGCGCTTGGATCTCTCCGAGCCGCTGGCGCCGTACAAGATTCTGAACCCCAAGCAGCTGGAGGATTCGAAGCTCCGAGGGGGCGAGTTTCGCATACATGGATTCTTGTTGTTTTTTCGTGTAAGACCTGAAGGCACAACTCAAAACTCTCACTTAGCGGTGTGTTTGAGGAACACCTTTTTTGCGTGCATCCAAAGTTCATTTGAAATCCGGAGCTCTGTGTGTGTGTGTGCGGAGTGACAGAATTACCCTGTCACCAACCTTTTAATCTCAGCAGGGGGACGTGGTGTGCAATCAGGGACCACGTCCAACGATTGCACGGGAAGCAGAGCCTGATCAGCTCTGTGTACCTGCCGGTGGTGTTGTTGTTTGTTTTGCTGTGTGTGCTTCATGTTTCACCTTGTAACATTAGAGTGAAGCCACCGTTTTCGCCACTCCTAGGCCAACCCACTCGAAGCTTACCGGTTGAACCGGTTGCACTCGAAAGATGAGATCTCTCCTTCGGGAGTTGAAGTGTGAATACCCTGTGTGTACCCATTGTGTGACCCCGTGCCGGCCTCGCCGGAAAATTGGACCTCAACGTTCTGATCATAGACCAGCGGAATTTCACATTTAAGCAGACACGGGGTTTCACTAAAGGGAAGACAGCCACTCAATCATAGAACGTTTCACACGTCCGTTTCTCGACTTCGTCATCCGCGTGTCCGTCTTCTGGTTCTTCGCCTGGCTTCTCCTTCCTCCCGCTCTCTTCTTCCTGTTTTTCGAGGCCCGCGCGTCCGTCCTCCTTTGGCCGTTTATGGATGGCCTGGTTGTCTTCGCGTTGTTCACCTTTCTCCTCGTCGTCTTCTTCCTGTCTGTCTACCTGTTCCTTGCTCTCCTCACGCAGTTTGGCTTGACGTCTTCCTCCCCTTCCGTTGCTATTTCGTGTTCGTCCTCTTGGTCCCTCGAATCTCGATGTCCTCTTCCTCGAGCCTTGGTCTTCATCCTCTGCGCCTGTCCGGGCGGGACGCGTCGCCCTAAAAACACATACCAACCCCGCCAACCCCCTTCCCTTCCCTCTTTTCCCTTTTGTTCCCTTGTCTTTCTCCCTCTCTTCTCTTTTCTTTCATCTCTCCTTTGAATGGGCGGGCTGCTGCGCTAACTACGCATCTCGTCCCCTTTGTCTTATTTTTTTTCTTTCCCTCTCTCTCTCTCTCTCTCTCTCTCTCTCTCTCTCTCTCTCTCTCTCTCTCTCTCTCTCTCTCTCTTTCCCTCTTTGTTTCGTTCCCCCGTTTTTGCAGTCTTTCTTCTTTTTCTCTTTTCCCCTTTCCCGCTACATCCTGTTCTTCCTCTTCGCCCGATGAGGGATGGCCTGTTCTTCTTCTCGGTCTTCAACTACGCTGCCGGTGGTGTTGTTGTTGATTGTTTTGCTGTGTGTGCTTCATGTTTGACCTTGTAACATTGGAGCGAAGCCACCGTTTTCACCACTCCTAAGCCAGCCCACTCGAAGCTTACCGGTTGCACTCGAAAGCTGAGATCTCTCCTTCGGGAGTTGAAGTGTGTGTGAGTGTGTGTGTATATGTCACAGTGTGTGGGCGGAGGGGGGGGCGGGTTCCAGGTGCCTTAAAAGTTTAAAAGTCCGGCAGTAGTTTAAAGCATCACGCGGGCCAATCGAAAGGCAGCGTGCCAGGAGATGTCCAGGAAGCGCCTGCCAGGCCGGGGAGAAGATGAGTAGATATATCTACATAGGTATGTATAAGTGTATATATATATATATATTTCAACATATATATATATATATATATATATATATATATTTCTACATATATATATATCCCTGGGTGGGTAGGGTGGGGGACCCCTAGTTGTTGGTTTGGATTGGCTTGGACATTTGAACCCCGTCTGACCATGGTTTTTTTTCCGGACCTCCAGTGTCGCCCTTCTCCTTTTTGGAGGGGGGTTCCCTTTCAAGACAACTGCAAAAATGGTGCCTGTTTGGTCAGGCACACTTAGGGGCACCTAGGGGCTTCTCCAAGTCGTCACTCAAGGCAGTTGGATCTGGGTCGAACTCTTTCTCCATGAAGACCAGGGCAAGCAGGCCGAAATCGTAGACCTAAGTATTGCAAGTGAGACATTTTCTCATGCTTTGGTGGTTGAGTCTGGTTGGTTTACTTGCGCCCACCGTGTGTGTTTCGCCAAGCTCCTCGTTGCTTGCTTCGCCTCGTTGCTCTCTCGCGCGGGTCCGAGCCTTCGTGGCCTCGGAGGCTGCCTTTTTGGGCTGCCCTTCCCTCAGCCGCGGGCTCGGACTTGCAACCAGACAGCCCATGAGGGTGGTGCGTCTTGAGTCTTGAGGCTCTGAACCCTTGAGTCTTGGTTTAAAGGGAAGCCAACAGGAAGAACACAAATCACCCATTTTCCCAGGTCAAACGGGTGTTAAATGGCTATTTTGGGCACAGCCGTACCGATTGGGGGGTCATCCTGGCGTCCTTCGAAACCCCCCCCCGCCCTCGAGGAGCTCCAAAGAGATGGCCTCGGAGGAGTTTGGGGCGCCGTGGCTCACGCAGGCCTTCCACAAGGCCGGACCTGTGGGTTGGTCTTGCCCCATTTTTCAACTTTTCTTCTTGTTGGAGAGGGTGGACCCCTAAGAGACAATCAAGGAAGCAAAGAGTGCCGAATCTGTTGTTCTTCTGGACATCCGCTGGGTGTCTAGGTGTTGCAGGCCCCCGCAAAGAATCGAAGGGCACATCAAAAGGAAGTCAAAAAGGGGTTTGTGTTCTTTGACCTTGTTGGGCTGCAAACCTGTTTCTATAACAAAATCCCAACCCGTTTGGTGTGGTTGGAGTTGGGCTTGAGCCGGAAGTTCAAGAGGAAGTGGTACATTCCACGAGGGGTGGTGGAGGAAGTTCAAAGTTGAAGAATCCTGGGCATTTGGCATAGTTAATCTGGTAGTGACGCGTCTCCCTGATCTTGAACCTCTGAGTGTTCTACCGATGTATCTAACAGATTCAAACCTGAATACAACTGACTGAATGCCCATGCGGTTTTACAGAACGGTCAAGGAATCAGCTCAAGAAAGGCCAGTTGTCAACAAGGTATGTTGTGAAATTGCTTAGGGGTGCCCGTGAAACGCAGTTGTGTCAGGGCTTCAGGGAAGTGGCGTATGTGGAGCCGGATTGAAGTCAGGTGCCTGGGGTGAGATTGTATGGTCACCTCGGGTTGGTATGGTCCTTTCACAAGGAAGTTGAAGAGCGATTGTGGGGTTCTAAAAGACTCTGACCCACACGCAAGGAACTTTGACCATTTGCCGCGCAGTTGTGCATGTTCTAGTCGTTTCTTCGCTGGACATGAGCCCAAGGCCCTTGCCAATTGGTTAGGCCATGGCAACTTGGAAGCCCGGGCCCGGATGATGTCCCGTCACATACCCGCCCGCTTCAACATGAAATTGGGGAGCAGAGTGACTTCTGAATCTTCCATGTTTCGTCCTGCCATTTTATGTAGGCAAATTTATAGTTCCATCTGTCAATTTCCCGTCAGTTCCAGTAGTTCCTGAACCAAATGGAACTGGGGGATTCCCTGAGAGTAGGCATCCCGTGACTCGCTGCAAATAGGCCGGCACCTTGCCAAAAGACAACCGCGTGGTGAAGATCCACGAGTGTCTCGACCAATGCCTTGCTCCATTGGGGTCCTCCAGAAATCTGTTGTAATCTTTTTTGGGGTAGACTGGATGTGGAGCAGAACATGGCCACGGTGTACCTTGGGGTTGGGCCAAGTTTAGGGGGTTCAAACAAACAAAGCATGTGGGTTTGTGCTTTTAGAGGAACCCCCTTGCGGTTGGCTTGAAACAGAAACCAACAGAACATGAGCCATTTGGGGGTTCCCTAATTTTGACCCCCCCCCTCTTTGGCAACGATCCAGACTTTGCGAGCGTCTTCCAGCTTAAAGCGCGCTTCTTTTGACAAGGCCGAACGCATTGCAGTGATGAATTCATGCTTCCATTGGGCCATGAACTTTAATAGGGACCCGCCTAAATAATGGGCATGAATCCCCACCTAAATGATGTCGACCAAAGGGTTCCTTATGAAAGTCCATTTTATTTAGATGTTGGGTTTTCCAACTTCGACTGGCTGGATGGTGACTTGGCGGGGTCGTTTGTCCTCTCCCTAACGGCGTTGAGTTCCAACATTGTGAAAGCTCCCAGTTTGGTGGGGACACATGCCGCTGCGGCTATTTCAGGCCACGGATATTGCCCCCCCCCCCCCCCCCCCCTCCGGAGGATGCTGAACAAATCGATCTCGAGGGAGCTAATGAGCCACTCTGCACTCTGCAAGACAGACACGAAGAGAAAGCTGGCTGTTGTGTTTTGAATTGTTGCGAGACATAGCGCGAGAATTGTTGTCCAGCGCCTCTGACCGCGGCGGATGATGGCCATTATAACACATTTTTAACTGGTGTGGGACCGACATCCACCAATGGACATGTCGTTGGATTGTTCAATCGCGGAAATTTGAACTGCATCCACGCAACGCAATGCGATCTGTAAGGAAACGCCCAGATAAGTCGCCATAAGGTAAATTGCCCTCAAGACAAATACTTGTTTGTCCCCTTTACGGGTGTTAATCATTTTGGGATGTGTGCTTAATCCAGATTTGCTTGTATTTTAGCAGTGTCTGAGTCACTCTTTTGATTTGTCCACCCCCGGTCCCCTTTGTTTATCATCCATTCCCCCTCCCATACTCCCTCTTTCTTGTCGGCGCCTTGGGCGGCGCCAGGGTCGAACAAGGAATCGGCCTCAAAGGAATCGGTGCCCCAAGTGGGGTCAACGTTTGTGGTCCCAAAAAAGACTTCCTGAAAACAAGACTCACCATACTGTGGATGGACAAAATCCTGCACCACCCAAGAAACCACAGAATACTGATTGCCCTGTAAATTCCAGCAAACAGTGGTTTACCATTTTTCAAAGTGGTGCAGGATTCTGCCAATCCACAGTATGTTTGACGCCGCAGGGTGGAGGAGCTGGCGGTGCAAGGCTTCGACGCGGCTGGGGGCGCTGCCATGAAGATGCTCCTCACGGCGCGGGGCTTTTCGGGGCATGGGATAAGTAAAAGGCTGAGGGAGCCACTTAAAGTGAGTAAACATGAATCAACAGCTTCAGGATTTTCAAAGGCCAAGCAATCAAAATTAACACCCCTACAATCCAATGCCATTTTGGACTTTGGGGACTGGTCGAGACCAGGTCACAACTAGCGATGAGTTAAGCGATAAATTCGGGAGGGGGGGGTTCAGGGGTTCATGTATGCGTGGCGTTCATGCATGAGTTCATACATTCAGCCTTTGACAAACCCTCTCCAACCTTCTCCTTCCCTGGATTCCAACGTTGAGGGGACGGGTCAGCGAGGGGGGTTGAACTCTGTAAATGGGCAATCTGCTTTTAGGGACCCCCCCCGCCCAAATGATGTTTTTCCATTTGGTTTCCCTTTAAAGCCGCAAAAGCGAGTACCCTCAAAAACTGCCACACCCAAATGTTACCGATGTTACCCTTTCCAACAGGAGATAACATATGAGCGCCCCCTACCTCGAAAGTTCAATCAGAACGCTTCGATCAGAACCACGTCTTTGTGGGGTTGTGGGGACCCTTTAAACTTAATTAAACTTTAATCTCCTACACGAACATGGGGTCTCCTCCAAGATCAGTTTATGTTTTGAGGCAGACCAAATATGAAACAGAATCGGAGCATATTGTGTTGGAATGCGGGGCTTTGTGTACGTCCATTGGGAAGAGTTTGGTATAATTTGGTATAGTTTGGTCCTGCGCCGTACTTTTACCATTCCCATTCCTTCTACAGATGCGCAAATGGAGTTTTGCAATTCGAGGATAGGTTTTGTACATCGGGGCAAATTACAGCGATCCCGCAAAAGATGTTTTGTGGCCTCGATGAAGCTTCCACAAGGATCCCAGAGCAATTTGTCAAAATGGTTGATTCCTCTTTGGTCTTTCTTTTGGCGTTGAATATGACCCATTTTGAGCACTCACGGGCTGATGTTCGCGGTCATTTGGCGCTGTGAGTGCTGTGCTTTGGTCATTCAGTGCTCCCAATATATCATTGAACATCACCCCACCAAAGGGAACTCACTTTAAATTGGCCGAACAGGCAATGTGCAAAGCCACCAAAAAGGGGAGAAAAGGCCACACCGGGCCGTCCCGTTGTGAGATTTTTGAGCACTAGCTGCAAACCATGCCAGGTGCCAAGGTGAGAAGAGGCAGAGCAATCCCATGCCACCAGCGCTGAATCAAGCTAAGCAGACCTGCTATGCATCTTGCGTTGTGCTGGGCCCCTTTGAGCACCCCTTTGGACTCGATTGAATGGCGAAGCGAACCATCTGCAGGTGGAAGTACATGCCGCTTCATATCCCTTCCTGCCCTGTGCCAGCACCCTGTTGTGGGTATATAAACATACACACCACTTTTTTTTGGGGAGAGAGGGGTATGAAGAAACGGCAAACAACCCAAAGACAAAGCGCGAGGTGGAGTACGAGAAGGCCGACCGCGAGCTCCACACCGAGCTCTTCGTTAAGTATCCGCACCTCCGGCCAGAAGTTTGGGTTGGGGTGTCAATGGATTTACAGTTGATTTGTTGGGGGCGTCCTGGAAGGTTCTGGGGCTGATTGGCTGGTAAGGTTTCCTCTAAGCAAAACGTGTTTGCATTTTTCCTGTTGAAGGTGAGCCTTTCTTGGTAGGGGTGATATACACAAAAGACAAGCGTTCTTCCGTTTCCCTGGTCAATCATGTGCGCAGCTTCCTAAAACCCACTTTAGGGTCACCCTACTGGATTCAGTTTGGTTCTACTTATTGAGAGTGGGCGGTTTTCCGGTTGGTTTCTCTAGCCTTCAAGCCAACCCCAAAAAGGGTACCAACTCCAAACCAAAACACCCCCCAGGTGAGTCTCTGAAGTGTCCAGAAAAAACATTGAATCAATACAGCAAGGTACAACTAAGCTACCGTTGAACTACTCCAAACACCGCATCCAGCTCCATTTTGCCCAGCCAAGGTACTCCTACGACGAGTATCCGGTGGAGCGGCGCCAGATGTCCGTCTATGGGGACACCGACGGCCCGGAGATCACTGTGCAGATGCCCTTCGTCCACAGAAAAAGAAAAGAACTGAGCGGGGCCGCGCCAGGGATCGTGTTGGTTTCTATTTCCTGGTTTGTGTTGTCTTGTGTGTCGTGTCTTTGTCTGTTTCGTTTGGTGTTGTTTGTGTTTCTTTAACAGTCTCTATGTTTCTTTGATTGTCTAGTAGTTTGTTGGGTTGTTGGTTTGCTTGCTTGTGTCTTTGCGTGTTTGTGTGTGTTTGTCTGTGTATGTGCTTGTGCGTTTGCTTGCTTTATGTTTGTTGTTGTATTTTTGGTTTGTTTCTTTGTTTGTTCGCTTGTCTGTCTGTATCGTTGCGTGTTCTTTTCTTTGTCGTAGTCTTTGCTTTTGGCGTGTGCGCGTGTGTATTGTGTTGGCTTGCTTGTTTGTTTGTTTGTTTGTCGGTTTTGGTTTGGGGGTTGGTTTGTTTTGTTGTGCTTCTTTGTGTGGTTGCTTGTTTGCTTGCATGTTTGTTTATTTGTTTGTTTGTTTGTTAAGGTGGTTTGCTTGTTTGTTTGTTTGCTTGCTTGCTTGCTTGTTTGTTTGTTGGTATGTTTGTTTGTTTGTTTGTTTGCTTGTTTGTGTCATTGATTGCTTGCTTGCTTGCTTGCTTGCTTGCTTGCCTGCCTGCCTGCCTGCCTGCCTGCTTGCTTGCTTGCTTGCTTGCTTGCTTGCTTGCTTGCTTGCTTGCTTGCTTGCTTGCTTGCTTGCTTGCTTGCTGCTTGGTTGCTTTCTTGCTTGCCTGCTTTGCTTTGCTTTGCTTTGCTTTGCTTTGGTTTGCTTTGCTTTGCTTTGCTTTGCTTGCTTCCTTGCTTGCTTAGTGTCTTTGAGTCTTGTGTTTCTCCATCTATTTGTTTATTTGTTTTGTTGTGTTCTTTGTTTCTTTGCTTGTTTATTTTTGTCTTGGTTTTCTCTGTTTGGTGGTTTGTTTGTTCGTATGTTTATGGGCTTGTGTTTGTGTGTTGTTGTTGTGTTTCCTTTAGTTGTGTCTTTCTCGCCTTTTGTTATTTCTTTTGTTACCTTGCTTCTTGTTGTTTCGCTGTTGCTTTGTTTCGTCGTTTCCGTGTTCATTTGTGTAGTTGAATGTTTGGTTAGTTGTTTGTCAGTTGCTTCCGGTTTGCTTTGCCTTTTTGATTGCTTTGTTTGCCTCTTTGTTTGCTTTGGTTCGTGTTGGTTTGTTTTGTTTTGTTTTGGTTTTGCTTGTTTTGTTTTGGCTTGTTGTGTTTGTTTTTGTTTGTTTTTGTTTGTTGTGGGTGCGTTTGTCTGCCGGCCTGTCTGCCTGCCTGCTTACTTGCGTGCTTGTCTGTCTGTCTGTCTGTCTGTCTGTCTGTCTGTCTGTCTGTCTGCCTGTCTGCCTGTCTGTCCTTTGGTTTGTTTTTCTTTTCTTTGTGTGTGTGTGTGTGTCAGAGTGTGTGTGTGTATGTTGTGCTTGCTTGCTTGTTTGTTTGATTGTTTGTTTTGATTGGGGGGGTTGTTTTGTTTTGTTTCGTTGTGTGTTTGCTTGCTTGCTTTCTTGCTCGCTTGTTTGTTTGTGTCGGTTTGTTTTGTTTTGGTGTTGTTTCTTTGCGTGCTTGCTGTTTGTTTGTCTGTGGAGGCCCCCCTGCCCTGGCGCTCTCGGGTTAGTCCGTTCTGTGTGGACCATGGTTGCTCAGAGGGGTTTGTGTTATGGGGGGGTAGCCTTGAAGGGGGGGGTGAACCCTTTACGAGCTTGTCAAGCAGTGCTTTTCAAGCGCTTTGTAACAAGCAATGTGCTGTTTAGATTTCTGGAATGGCAATCCCTCAGACTATGACAGGAGTCAGAATTGGCAAGAGCATTGGCAATAGCTTCTGTGGCAATTTAAAAATGCTTTTGTTGGTCCTTCTGGGATTTTGGGCCGGAAAGGGACGTCATTTATTCACCAGAGGGGGATCGGCGGGGTGCCAAACAAGTATTCCAATGGGTCTTTTGGCCAAACCTTGTATGTGCTTTTGAAACAGTATTGTCTGGCAGTTGCGGGAAATTCGGACGTCTTTATTCTGAGGGAGTTTAAGAACTGTGTGCCGACATTAGCTTATCGGAGCCCACATGAACGAGCAGCTGTGATGCTGTCCGACAGGCAACACCCCAAAAAGTGTAAGTTTCTCAAGCTGGTCCCCTTTTTCCAGTAGTTTTAAGGGACGCCACAAGAAGCCCCCCCCCTCCCAGGTTAGGGGTCCCTAGTTTAAGGCGAAGCGCCACGAGGTTTCAAGGCCATCTCGGAATTCTGAGGTCCCTGGCTCACCTCTTCCCTTTCCGCACCGCGAAGTTCTACTTCGGGGACGTGTGCCGGGACTCCACCAACTACATCCTCATCTCAGCCGCTCGGCCACGAAAGCCAGGCTTACAGTGGCATATCCAGCCTCCAATCCTGGGGTTTGGCGGTGTTTGGGGGAAACCATCGATCCAAAATGGGTCCCAGCCCAAACCACTACAAGGACCCCAACATGAAGACACCACAAGGCAGTCTCGCTACATGTTCTCCTTTTGTGCCTTTGGAGTTGAGTGGTTTGTTTCGAGACAAGGGAAGAACATTGGTATTGGGTTCTTTTATTTTCCTTAATCAAAGGGGCCAAGTCGCCTCACACTCATGCCAAGTTTTCGGTTTCCAGTACCCGCCACTCTTCTCGCGGGCGCCCTGTTTTTTCTCCTGAGCAAAAAATACCGCCCAGTCCAAGAGTTCCACTATCAAACGGCCGGGTTCCAAGAAATACTTTGGGACCTGATCGAAACCCTCTGCCCAGATTTCACCAGCCCAAGGTGGACGCAATTGGCCATGATACTTCAAGGTAGTGAAACGTCGGGAATCCTGACTTCAGCTTGAGATCATCCAAGGGCCCCGGAAGTCGCGAGACCTTCAGGACGTTCAAATTGTCGGATTTCTGTTGGAGGTGTGACCCGAACTTGGCCCCAGAACGAGTCAAACCGACGGCCGAGCTGATGAATTGCTTCGCGGCCCAGGAGAAGATCCCCTTCTCGCGACGAGGTCGTGTGGAAAACGGCCTCTTGGCCCAACGGATGAAGGGCGGTTCGCTGTATGATGCATTTGGGTAAACTGCAGTGGTGGGGCTCCCCCATGAGGGTCCTTGATTGGGATGTTTGACCAGTTTGCTAGCTGTTGATTGCAACGAATGCCACATGTTGAGCCCACTTTATCATTGTACCTGGTGATCTAAAGTGTCAGTGTTTGCCCAGGCAAGATCGTGGAGAAGATCGAGTACCAGCCCTACCAGGCCTTTTTTGTGGGTTCTCTCATCTGACATTCCTTCATTCCTTGGGGTGAGGCAAGTGAGCCAAACCGAAACGCTTCGGGGCAGATGTCCGGCACCTGCGGCCAGATGTTCAGTACAGATTGCGGCAGCCAGCTTCAGATATCCTGAAACCACTGGGTCCTTTTCGATGGCAACGCAGCTGTGCTTGTCGCAGAAAGCCCAAGCACTTCAACTGGCCAAGGCCGCGGGAGCTGAGAAGCCATATTGAACACCTGATTGAAATGAAAGAAAGCCCATCCCATCCCCCCCACCCACCAAACAAAAGAGCCCCCAAAAAAAACAGAAAGACACAACACATTGGTAAGACAACCTAGGCAAATCTCGGGAAATACATACATTAAAGAAGAACAAAACACGCGCTCGGGGTGACCTTGTAGCAGGTCTCGCTCGGCTTTGTTTGGTGCCCTATCCGGGCCACCCGGACACCTGTGGCTTGCTTCCTTGGAAAGCAAACACGTACAAGGGCCTAAAGAATTTGAACAGGGTTGGGCACGTGAAAACCACATCTAGTTGCTCATATGCTTGTATGAAAGGCTAACTATTTGTGATAGGAGTAAACTTATTTTGTTTTAGACAAATATATATATATATATACTGTAGGTGTATTTGCAACTGACATCATTGCTGGTGGTCTACTGGCAGAGGGAGGGCGAGAAGGGGGCCAACCCCAACTTTCACAGACGAACAAAAATCACTTTTGCCCGGGGCTCATATGATGAGGTGCCCAACATACTTAACTCCGAGCCTTCTCACTGTGTCATCTCAGAATCTAAGTCTTTCGGATCCAGTTTACTGCAATACAGCTGTCGGGTTTGTTGGAGAGGATTGAACAACTGTTGTAGACACCCGATATCCGACCACTGGAAGCATGCGCCCTTTTTGGGAGGGTTCACCAAAACCAGAACAACTGCAACCAAGGATTCCCTCTTTCGCGCCCATAAACTAAGTCGCCTACCTCAGGTGTTGCCGGTGTGTGGCAAGTACCAGGACTGGCTCTTGCCGGATCCGGCCGAGTTCCTCGGTGTGAACCAGAGTCAGGGGGTAAGTTCACCCCATGAGGGGCATGCACTGACCCGTCCTTTACTTGGGGCAGTTATTCCTATTTGCGAGTTATAGTAATAAGCAACGATCGCTGAGAAGGCGCAAAGCGAGCACAATCACTTGCTGAATGTCTGTTGAGCACTGAGTCGCAGGCCAAGCAATGGTTGGTGGTACTGTAGCACAGTGGGCCCGAATCTACGAAAAGGCAATCAAGGATTATGGGCTTTTTCGCCCCCGTTCTGTTGTTCAAAGCGAAGCAATGGCGATCCGACAACATGACTTGGGCCTGCCTCGTTGAGGCTCTGGACAGCTCTAGGCTTGAGTGTGGGTTGCCCAGTCCTGGCCGAATTCTGCCTGGTCATTCAGGAGGCAGCAAAAAGAGCAGGAGCGGAATATGAAGGTTGGTGTAATTGACGCATCCTGATACGAATCCCAAAATGCATGGCGGTTGCCATTCCGTGCATCTGTTATTGCGTTGCGGTGGGGGGTCTTCTACTACCCGTGCCTAGTAGTTGTGGGTACATACAGCTTACACACGTGGAAGCAAGGAACTGTAATAGCTCTCCCGCTCTAGCCAAATGCTGCCCCGGGATGGATGGTTGTTTCGCATTGTGCCCATGCACCCAGCCCGCCCCCCCCCCCCCCAAACACAAATAACAACAAATAACATAACACAAACACATAAATAAATGAATAAACAATTTAAGCTTCTTTTTCCCATGTCCAAAATCCCAACTGTCCAAACAGCTGTGGTTGGGTGCCGCAGAACCAAATCCCGAGGTACTACTGCTGTCTCTTCCGCTGCATGGGCCGGTTGGCTGCCTGGGACAAGCAAGGCCGGCAAGAGGCACTCAGCAAACACACGTTAGGCTGACTTCCATTTGCTTGAGACGATCTTTTATTTTCCCTTGTTGGTGTTAAACGGAATTGATCACAACTGGACATATATTTTTTTAAATGTTTTCCAGGGGTCTTAACCAAATGGAAGCTGATGTCGACTGAATGCCACGATTCCTCCAAAAGGGAAGACCCCCAAAGCACAGATGGTAGTCCAGCCGAGGTTGGGGCTGGGACCATCCCCCAAACCGGTGAGGTGGTTTTCTAACCGATCTCACTGACCTCACCGTTTGAAGTGTAGATTGAGGCCCTAGAGATCCACTGCGTTCCGCGATGTTCCGTGAGGGTGTGCAGAGGGACATGACACGAGCAGAGGGGCTCTCCTTCATTTGTTTGTTTGATTCCAGATGTTTGCCATGAGAACCAGCTGAAACAGGAGACGTTTCCAGAATTTGTAAAGAAACCAACTTGGGTTTGTCCCTTTTGAAAGGTCATGGCTTGTTTTGGGTGGCGTTTGCCGGCCAAACCCAAGTCTCTATGGTTCCACCCCCAAGCCAGTTCCAGGTTCATGCGTAAACTTACTACATACAGTAGCCCTGCTTTGCCTTAGGAGACACCATCTTGGTCCGTTTAGCTAAATGGTGAGAGACCGCAGTCATAAGGCTTTGCAGGCGAGGGGAAAAGGGATATCCCTGTTTGAGGCGAACAAAGTGGTTTCTCCCAAACCCATAGTGTCCATCTTAGACTAGTCACGGACAGTCCGGCTTTTCCCAACCCATCTTTAGCATTGCGCTCCCAATCCATTTGATGGATAAAGCCGCCCTGGGTGTTCGGGTTTCCCCCCAACAAAAGGTGGTGGACACCACCGAAGTCCAGGGGGAAACCAGGTATTCCACCCCTTTTGTCGGTGGCTACGGTGATCTTCTTCAAGGGCATTTTCATGGATGCTTTGTACCACCAATCCCGTGTACAAGTGGAAAACCCGTCCCTGAAATTGCCCCTTGAAACGTCTGTAGGCCGCTACGACGAGTTCTTCGGGCCGTTGGACCCGGGGCACTACCTGCGCCTGGCGGCCGAGCGGCGGACCTTGAAGGTGGCGCAAGTGGAGAGCCAAAGGGCGTCCGCCGCTTGCTTCGATAGGGAAGGGGGGGGGGCTGAGGAGGGGTAGGGGGTCGAACCGGCAATGCCTCATGAGGTATTTGTTTGGGTTCGTTGGGACGCCCTATTGTGACACTTAGCGAGGGGAGGTGTTTTGTTTTGGTTTTTGTTGGGGTGTGTTGGTTTGTGTGTTTGTTTGTGTGTTTGTTTGTTTTGTTGTTGGCCAACACGAGGGGAACGACGGGGGAGGTAGCATTTTCACTGGCGCTGGACGAAAGGGGGCGAGGGGGCGATGCAAAATTTGTATATATATATATATTTATTCTACATGTTTTGGCGACAACACCAGAAAGACCCGAGTTACTCAAACAACATGGCGTCACAAGCTGCAGGTAATTTTCGCGAAAGGAACCTGAAAGGAAGGGGTCAGTCACGCCAACTTTCGTTTCAAATCGTTTTACGTGACCTCCTTGCCCTTGAAAGGGGCCTGGGGATGTATATTGGTTTGATTTATCCAGGCACCCTATTTGCAAGGAGATCGAGGGAGGCCAAATGAGGTTTCAGGTAGAGTTTCTGTGATATGGGTATAAATGTAACTGAGGATGGCTCCCCCAAAAAGATCGCCGCTGGGCGAATCGCCTTCGAAGTGTAAGTTGTCATGTAGTTGGAGAAGGCATCTCCCCACCATCTGATGAATGGTCGACATTAACCATAGTTGTTATACATACCTCCCAAGTTAGTGTGTGACACGACAATTACCGATCGTGGCTCGAATGAGGAGTTGACAAAACAGTGGACGCACTTTAAGGGCGCAACAAAAGAACACCAGGTTCCCAAAGCGAGGCCTAATTTTGGACGTGGGATTGATCGACCGCTTTGTGTCCGCACGCATTGTTTGTCATTGCTACTCTTTTTTGTGGTTGGCCAAGTTTGATTGCAACACAAGCTGACTCACTGTCAGCATGCGTGACTGTGTGAATCAACCACGCGTTGTTTTGTTTCCCACGTCCAAGTTCAGTGAACCGTATTATTTTCGCTTGCAATGTTCAAAGAAAACCAAAACCACATTCTAGATCTAAACTTTCCGGAAATCTTTTTTTTTAAGCAAAGCACCAACAACCCAAGGGACTAGCCGTTCTGATACGAACAAATGGTTGAACAAGATCAAAGCCTTACATAAGGGGTGATGCCGACCGCTTCTTACTCCTTATAATCTGGAAATCCCATTCCAGACACGGGTGCGTCTTTCTTTGAGCCTACTAATTTTGGGTTAGCCAAAGAGGGAAGCCAAACCAAGAGCTCCCTTTTTTGGAGATTCCCCTGTGTTGAGGCATACCCCAAGCAGGTTTTTGAATCAGGGGACATCCTTTTAAGGCCCTCTTCGAAGCAGTGGCTGGTTCGAAGAAGCTGAGGTGGGACGTATCCTGGACGGCGCCATCGATCTTATGACCAATGCAGCCCGGAATCGTCTCCACTTGTGGGCCCACAAGGCACTTCTCGGTGTGTCGCTTGAGGGTAGCCCTTTGCTTTGTTCGTTTCAATGGGAAAAGAAAGCGCCAGCATGTTGGGATTTGTGGGGGCCCCGGCAAAAAAGACACCCCCTATATAAACTGGTTGGCGCTCGATAAGTAGATGGCACTGGCACGTGAAACACTGTCTTACTTTTCAAACAGGGGAACCCAAGACGGGGTAATTTTCTTCAAAACAAGACACCCATGTGTTCCTCAAGTGTGGAATATCTCACTCTGTTTCCTGCGAACGACTAGCGCGCTGGTTGCTGGGTCTGAAGGAATGTGTCAAACATATGAGGATTCATTTGGCTGTGGGCAAAACTAATGGTACCATTTTGGGGTAGGTGCACCACCCCTTTTAGTCTATTTTAGTGGGGATTGGGATGCTCACTGGGGGTACAGGATTTTGACCCATGGCCATTTGGGAGAGTGTCACGCAAGAAAGCCTGTGCAAAGCCGCATGAGGAAGGGAGCAGCCTACCATGCATTGGAGGATGGGGATTCCCAATTATGAAACAACAAACATCCTTCGTTTAACATATTTTGTCCTTGGCATGTGTCATGGCTTGCCGTCTTGCAATCATAAGACAGTCAAATGACCATTTACTCCTCAAAGGCCAAGACACCTACTTCGAGACATCAGCACATTTGGAGATGCGGAGCTACTCAGCATATTCCTGCTGCACCACTGTGGGTATGTGCCAGAATAAGGGGACCTCCAAAAATGGTGGCTTCCCTCTAGTATCCAAAAAGGTTACCCTCAAGCAACACACACGCATGTGTTAACCTACATTGGCATTACCAAAAGGAAGCGGCCCATATTCCCAACAACCATGCATTTGCAAAAGTACACCACAAATGCTTTCCCTTGCAGCCCAGGAAAAAAGGGTAACTACCTTCAAAAAGCACAAACACGAAAGGGGGGCATTTTTTTGAGGTCAATATTTTGACTGCTTCTGGAGGTCAGAGTCAGACACTGAGGTTGTTTCCCTTCACAGGGAGTTGCTTCATGGTTGAACTGGCTGAACACAATGTCATATCCTTTGCAGTCACCAAAACGCCCGCTTATGAGTAACTTCTCCCCCGTTCGGGATCTACCCGACTCATCTGTTGCCAAGGTAATCCCCAGCATGGTTCCCGGCTTTCTACTCCAAGGCACGGTCCGAACGAATCCGGGAGGCAAAGCGTTTCGCCGCCGGAATGTCCGCACTTTTTGGACCTAAAGTTGCAGCTTTGATGCAATCTACAAGCCAATTGAACTCTCGCCAGGAAAACTGACCCCATCAGTGTTCTAACTATCTGCTTTTTCGGTTTTGATGTGGAGGAATGAGTTTTGGGGGCTTGGGTGCACCCTGCGGGTTGCTCGGGTGACCTGGGCGGGGCTGGTCGGAGGAACAAGTCGAGGGCCGCGGCGACCAGCCGTGGCGAAACCTTCAAGACATGCCATGAATCGGCCACAGGGCTACCAACTCGCACGGCCAGATTCTTGCAGAGTAAGGGTGGAACTTGATTAGTAACCCCCCCCTGCTCCCCCGAAAAAGGTCGACAAGGTTTTGGAAACCAGATGTTGGAGGGTCTGAGGCTCCCTCGGATGAATCTGAACCTGGCCAGTCCTCTCCGGCCTTTCCTGTGTCTGTCTTGCCAATAGGACTGCAATAGGCAAGTACAAGGAAATCACATTTTCCAGAGCTGGAGAGGGACTTGATTAATCAAATAGGGTTTTGCATTTGTCCTACCTTTTCTGAATTTTGGGCCGAAAAGGGGCGTCCTGAATCAGAGGGGGTGCCTGGGAGGTGCCCCAAAAGAACTGAGAAGTTTCTTTTGGCCAAACCTGGTGCACATGGGCGCCTTTAAAGTCGTATCGTTGGCTGGCAGTCGGCCGGGGGGTTACCGGGCGTCTTTAGTCTCATCACGTTCTCGGTAAAGCTCGTGAAAGCTGCACTTCGGCTGCCGCAAGTTTTTTCAAGAGCCACGCCAGACAAGGGGACGCGATGTGCCGCAACCTGCAACTGCTCACTGCTGTTTGTCCAATCCTGGAACATGGAGCACAGAGGAAAAGAGGGAAGAGGGTGGGCCGCTAGGCCCCTACACCCATGCTAAAATCTGTCTTCAATCAGAAACTGGGGCTTGATACTTCACACCGGCGCGTCATACGGGTGTTTGTGCCCCTCCGCCTTGCGTTGAAGCAGTCCCATATAGCCATAGCATATAGCATATGGAAGTGTGCAGCCCCCTGAAAGGACAGTCTCCCAAACGGGGTCCGTGCACTTTCACGTTTGTCTGTGCAAGCACTCTCCAGGTGGATCCCCTTAGGCAGTCTTCCAAAACGGGTCGCAGGTGGAAAGTTGGCGAGGATCAAGGAGGAGCTTCTGGAGATGTTCCCCCACTTCCAAGGCATGTCGGGCCAGTTCCAGGTGAACAGCGCCCCGGACGCTTCGGACAGAACTACCTGCGTGTCTGTGAGTCTCTCTCTCTCTCTCTGTGGTGTGCTATTGGTTGTGTTGTTTTACTTGTTTGTGTTGTTTTAGTTGTTTGTGTTGTTTTTTGTTTGTTTGCTTGCTTGCTTGCTTGCTTGTTTGTTTGTTTGTTTGTTGGTTTGGTTTGGTTTGGTTTGGTTTGGTTTGTTTGTTTGTTTGTTTGGTTGTTTGTGTGTTTGTTTGTTTGTTTGTTTGTTTGCTTGCTTGCTTGCTTGTTTGATTTTTTGTTGGTTTTGGCTTTGGTTTGCTTGCTTTGATTGCTTGCTTTGATTCCTTGCTTTGATTGCTTGCTTGCTTGCTTGCCTTTGTTTGTTTGTTTGTTTGTTTGTTTGTTTGTCTTTTTTGCTCAAAGATATGTGGCGTTGTTTCTTGGGTGACCGACAGGAACCCAACCTATAAGGATTCGGAAGTGTGCACGAGACTGGAACTGAAAGGGAGTCGGATGGCAGGAGCAGGAAGGGTTAAGTAGACTAGGGAGGGAAGAGAGGGAGCGCGCTAGAAGACAACGTCCAATCGTCCTTTCACAACTTTTCCGCCGTGGCCCAATTTAGAATAACGAAAAACGGGGCTACACACCCTACTTTGGATCAACTCAGGCCCTGACTACATCGCAGCCATGCACGCCAACTTGCAGGCGGGATGCTCTCCAGGGTTGGCCTAGCTGGACCAAGCGAAAGCTTACTTTGGGGTTCCGGAGGCCTTCTTGGTCAAAGTGCTACCCCTGACAGACGTGTAGTATGTGCGAGGCGGGATTCTGCAAAATTAGGATTATGTAAGCGACGGCGTTTGCAACGATTCCTGCATTTTTGCGAGCTGACCTTTGGGATCCAAGCCTTTTGAATTGCTGCAATGGTATCATTGATGGTATTTCAGCAAGGCCAAGAACAAGACCAAAAGCGAGTTCCCTTCGAATCTTGCTTCCAGAGCAGCTTGCATCGACTGGATCCAGATGTCAGCAAATTGATGCTCATTGAATCTAGCTCCGAATCTCCTTCCGGGGCCCTTCATGCAAAAGTCAGGGAAGGAATATCCAGTCGTGTGGCATCTGCCAGAGACTCCTGAGCAATCCGCAGGGATGCAGGAAGATCTTCTTTCAGGGCCTTTTTGAAGATGAATGGCCATCTGGACCTCAAAGAGCAAAGGACCAACAAGCGTTAGCCAGGCATCTAGACAAATCTTTCTTAAGTTGGGCCGATGGTCCTTGTGTCAAACCGAACTGCCAGAATGACGGGAAACCAAAGGAACACCACCCATTTTGGCGGACCCGCTGAAGATGGCAAGGCCGTTGTTGCGACACTAAGGCTCTCGTCAGGGGTGGGGTCAAATCAGGGGTCCGACAAACAACTCAATCCGCAATGGCGCTCCCAAAACGTGTCTGGGATTTGTACGCCTTGTCAAGGTCAAATAAGCCGAACAGGGCCTTAACAGTTGGGCTGTTTCGAGGCGTGGTTTTGGGATTCTGGTTGGATAACTCCAGTTGAGCTGCTCGCAAAGCCGGCATTGGGGCGTGGTAAGGAGCAAGGGCTGTATCACTGGCTGTATCAACCTTTACAATCCCCGAGCTTGGTCGTGCCATTGGTATCTTCCCTCAGCTTGGGAGTCAGTCCCGAGGGGCTCCTTGTGTGAAGGAACCGTCCCAAACATAGGTGCGGATATCCGCACGTTTCATGGTTTTGGGTAGCCAGTTTACTACCCTTACGCCTCATCTAAATTTGTGGTTTTTGGGTACCTTTCCTTTTTGCCTTGCCCAACGGGCGACCAAAAGGAAACCAATCAATTTGGCGCTCCAAATCCCTTTTTCGGCTCTTCCAGGCGGACAACGCCTTTTTTTGGCGCGACGAGTACGGGGACCTCGACTGTGGCTTGAGCCGCGCTTGTGGTTTAGCTCGTGTAGAGCTGGGGTGCTTCATGAAAAGGCACAAAATTGCAATGAGTTTTGATAGGGAACCACCTCAACAGATCTCAAAAGTGGTTGGTGGACATGAATCCCCGCCTAAATGATGCCCACCCAAAGGGTCTCTAAAAAGAAATCATACCCAAATAATGCTGAGTGAGTCCCATGTGGCAACGTGTTGCTGCATTCTTCCTGCCTCCCCTGTGGGATGAGTGAGGCCCTCACTCCAAGACTAGTTGGCCAGGCTCCAGCTGAATCTGCTCCCCTGCCGGGCGGTTCACATGTTGTCTAGTTGCAACACTTTGCTAAAAAGAAATGATATCACTCCGGAGCAGATTATCAGGTTGTCCTTGTCTCTGCACATGTTTCTTTCCCCCCCACCCCCCGCCCTTTGCACCTTGCGGTTTGAGGGTCTAAACGCGGCTTAGCGCAACAGGGTCCAATGTTCGCTGCACGGAAAGGGTGTTCCCAGTTTTAGGACGTCTTCCCATGTGTTTTGTTGATCAGGCGGAAGAGGTTGGCTATGCACCGACACGCGTCGATCGCAACGGATCGGAAACATTCTACAATTCCCAGTTTTGCAAATTACCTGGTGCATGCAAGCACCCATGTCTCTGAATACCTCTAGAAACAACGGTCATATACACGTCAATCGCATGCAACGCTTAGCTAAACTCCAATAAATATCGGAGCTTCGCAATTCCTTGCAGCCACATGATAGCTTCCCAGCTACCCCTCAGGTTGCCCCAAATCCCAAGCAACGGGAACCGAGTTGTCGCGAGGCGGTGTGCTGGACTGGGGCGGCTTCAACCGCACGCCCTTCTGCGTGAACTTCCTGGGCTGCCTCTCCGGCGCAGACCCGGAGGCACGTGTTTTGGACGTGGCGTCTCTTTTGGGGATGTCCCGCTTTTTGTATTCAAAGGGAAATCACGTGTGAGGTTGATATGTTGGGAGTTTCTCATCATGGACCCGCTTTGGTGGATAGTTAAAGAAGAACCCAAGCGAAACCCACCGTTTTGGGGGGACGGAATCCTGTTTTGCGAAACCCCTGTGAGAGCTTAAAGGTGTGCTTTGGAGCTCGACCAACCACTCGGGGCTCCTGATCTTACTGCAAAGGGACTGACAGGCCGAGGGATATCTTGGATTCCTTAAGAAAGAAAACAGGCTAGGCTGGTCACGGAGGCCCCATTTCTGCATGTCCTTGTTCTGTCCTTGTCATGTTTGAGGAATGCCCCCGTTTTTACAGGTAAGCCTTGTGAGGCTCATCAAGGGCAGAAATTGGCTTCAATCGTCTCTGGGGCCAATTCAAGAACGAAGCTCAAAGAAATTCCTGACCTGTTTTGCTTTGGTTCCGCTCCCTTTTCCTGGAGAGGGGGCTCCTTGACTTGTTGGTGCATTGACTAAGCCACCTTTCTGGATGTGGGTTGGGACGGTGGGCCTTTGCATGAGCATCTCGGACCGTACCCTTCAGGTTTTTCACAGCGCATCCAGAGCACAGCTGCACATCCAGAAAGCCGTGGCAACCAAGGACTGCGTTTTTGGTATGCGCGCAGCGGAACTCATTGTTGGGCGGGGTTTAAGGCAAAAGAACAGGAAACCACCTATTTTGTTGGCCCTGAATTTGGCATGAATCCCGCGGGCAGCAGGTGATGCTGGCGCACGAAGAAGGCATCATCCGCGCCTTTCGGGACGAGTTCTTTGGCCTTGCCTGGTACATGGTGCCAGGGTCACATTCAACCGGCTAGAGGCGACCACACGGTTGAAGCAGTACCAATGCACGAGGGCTTCGCTTCATGTGTAATTAATTGATTTGTCTCAAGCTAGACGAACCCCAAAAAGCTGCTTGTCCTTGATTGAAACAAAGCCAAGAATAGTACCCTCAGAAACACACCTAGGGTGTGGATAGTTCGATGCACTTCAGGAAGCTTCGTTAGCCGCAGAACTCGATTGGAAGATGGATTGGAAGATGGGCTGTTCGTCTACAGGGGAAGGAGACAAAAGTGTAGTGTAGCAAGCGGGATCCATTCTTTCCTAGGAATCGAGACATTTGCGCAATGTGAAAGGCCCAAGAGTTAGTCGAGCCTGCGCCGGTCGATCCCTGCAAAGGTTGAGTCAGTTGAGAGCTGAAAGCAGGCACGACAGTGTTCGCTTGCTTTGGTAAGCTTGCTTGGGAGAACGCCTCTTGCCCAAGATTGGCGTTTCTATTACCTGGTTCATGGCTAGTTTTGAATACGCATTTTGAATACACATTATATATATATATATATATGTTGCAATGCCGCTGTTTGAGATAGGTATGGCTTCCAATCAGGAAGATTTAATGGGCGATTATGAGACAAGCGGCAAAGGGCGACCTGATTGAGGACCATCATGCAGTCGTCAGACACAAGTCTTGCAGTGTCCCGACAGTTTGCTTCTGAGGTCGACAAAGAGTCTGATTTGCAGTGGAATTGCCAGTTGGCAGATGTGATTGAAGGGCCTTTGGTTACCTGTTGTGTACAATGTCGGCGTCTCTCGAAATTAGGGGTGCCCCTTTTTCTCTTTCAAGCCAGAACACGGCGTTCGGCGTTCCACGCACAAACACAGGCACTTCCATGCTCCCGTGCATTTGTTTTCTTTTCCTGTTTGAGGAGCTCTTGTTTTTTCACAACCCTGTACATCGCTCTGAGTCAGTTTGCCAGATAGCAGATTGCAGTGAGCCAACCTGCATTTGCAACAATTAGTCGGGGTTGGTGGTTTTGGGATCTGAACCGGTTGAATGATAGGGTCAATTAGAGATGACCCCCAACCTCGCCAGCGCAAATCACCAAAGAGCGGGTCAAAGCCTGAGACACGCCAAGGTTTCATCGCTGTGGAGGTCCATACCTCAACGTTGAGGACTTGCTCCTGAGATGCTCGGACTTAGATGTCAAGAGCCTGGGATGGATTCTGGAGGTATGGAGGCTATTCGCCATTGGTACAAAGGCGTCCGCTGCCTCGAATGCTTTTTCTGGATTGGTGTACACGCCTCGACACCAAACAGTCATGAAAGTGTGCAGGTCCCTGACACGGCAACATATTGTTTTGATACGTTGCATGTTTGCATTTTAGATGTCGCTTTGTTCTGTTTGTGGTACGTTGCTGAGGCAGGATAAGCCTGTGAATTTTCGGCTGGCCAGCAATTGGTACGTTATTCATGGGCCCTGTCTTGGCTGAACGGAGCACACTCGGACCTTGTAGGACCGATAGGACAAGGTTGTACGGACAAAGCGATCTGAGATGTCTTGTCTGGGAGCCCAATCATATCAGGTTGGTGGATTGGTACATTGTCCATCATGGTTGATGGAAGTAGAGAAGGCATGTTGTCCTGCGTTGTTCTGCGAGTTTCTACCAATGCAGGCCAGTCTTTTTGAGGGCAATCTTTTCCGGGTTGGAGGTTAAGGCAAACCGAAGGAAAACCACCTGTTTTGGGAGGCTCCCCTCTTAAGACGCACCCGTGTAGGTGATTCCGCTGCACCACAGTCTCTTTCATGGGTAGTTCTTGTGCCCCAAGCTAGCGTCTCCTCCTGAGTTGTTTTCCATATGGGGGCGTCTTGTTTTGGGGGACCCTCCACAATGGTTTCCCTTTAAACCAACCCCAAAAAGAGTAGCCTCAAAAATGACACCCCCATGTGTTCGAGTAGACTATATATGAAACAGACTGGGGTTTCTTCGGTGCCCGGGAAGCTTGGCTTAGCGCAGTGGGTGCTGAGGATACCATTTGGGCTACATCACCTTTGTCTACGAGTCGACAACGTGGATAGAGCGTGAGATTTACAAGTGGCTTGGCTGAGGACCAGTGACTTGAGATGTTCAGGATGGCATGTGTGTTTCTATGGCGTTCAGTGTTCAGCGACTCGCGCCATGTGATTGGAACTGGTTTGCTGGGTCGTCTTGACGGTGAGTGCATTGTGTTGGCGAAAGCCAGCGCCGCTAGTGCACGAAGTTGTTGCGGCAGGTACCATAAGCCCAAAATACAGCTGGCATCTCGTGCTTTGTTTGCGTTCTTTCAATCCATGCTGTAAGACAGCCAAGCCCACTTGGGTTAATTCCTAATTTGGCAACCGGCATGTTCAGACGTTGCCGTCTGAGTATTTCAGAACTGGGATTCGGGTTGTCTTCTTTGACGAACCCTCTGATGACTCTGATTCATGTTCATTTCTGCTGGGAAACCAAAGGAAACTACCCAAGCATGGGTGTCCCTAGTTTGAGACAAGCCGATTCACGGACGGCTTTGATCCAGGCAAGTCCGGTTTGTCAACCTTAAGGGGTCTTCCCTCCAAAAGGGAAGCTGCAATCATCCATTTGGGCAGGTTACAAGTAACTCACCTGGTGACGAACTCGCCCCAGGTTTGACGAAGGTTTCAGAGGACCCGGAAGCAGCCAGATGCCCCTCAAACGAACTTGTTTGGGTAAACTACGACAGTTCACCCTTGGTATAAAGACACTACAAGTAAAAGACCTTCACAACGGGAGAGCTCGTCTTTCTCCCAGGTGAGCGTGTTATAGTTTGCCAAAACTTGTCATAAGCCGCTGAGGGGGGAAACACAACTTTATGTCCCTCCAACAATCATGGAATGTGACAGGATGCCTCTTGAAGTATGTCCCTCCAACAATCATGGAATGTGACAGAATGCCTCTTGAAGACTACTTTTCTTTTGGGGAAGCCCCCCGTCCACTTCCACGATTGTTGGAATGAGGGTATCCAATCTTTCCCTCCACAAGGGTGACACTTCCCCCCTTTTCTTTTTGGACACCCCATGAATTGGTGTCACCCCAATTCCGGGCTCATCGAGGGTATTAATGGATTGGTAGGGGAACCTCGGAGAACGGTTAAGTCATTTTTTGACATTTGCTCGTTGAAACCCATCTCAGGCAGGTGTCCAAGGAAGAGATGCGCACCTGGCACGGTATTCTGGACGAGCGCTTCCAGGAGCGCTTCCGCGTGAGGCTCGCAGGGGTGGGGCCGAGAGGGCCGGGGGCTGGGAGGGGTGGGGGGGAACGCATGCAGCCACAAAAGGGTTGGTGTGTTTGTTTGGGTGCATGTTTGTCATGAACGGTTTTGTTATTGTCTTTGGCTTAAGTGCTTGCTTGCTTGCTTCTTTGCTTGCTTGGCACTTTGCCGCCCAAGGTCACATTGCATATTGCACTCCTGCAGCTGATGAAGCAGGCAAATACTTGCAGGACCCTACATAAGAGTTGTGCATTGTGGAGTACATGCTGCTCTAGAATGCCTTGCTTTGCACAGTTGTGGTTTCGTTCTGGCCCCTTTACAAGCCGGTGGAATGGCTTTGCGTGATCGATACATCTATATATATATATAATTGTATATAATTATGTGTATATATATATATATCAGGGCTCGCCTGAAGATGGGTCGTGAACTGGGCGCCATTGTCAATGGAGTCAAATAAGGTATGTAAAGCCATTTGTGAACGCCAAGTCAATGGTGGCTGGTGTCCAACAAATCTGACCTTCTGGCGGGCAGATTGATTGGGAATTGGGAGCTTTCCAGATGCGTGAGACCACAGTCTTTTTTGAGGGTATCCTTTTTGGAGTGGTTTCAAGGGGAAGCCAAAAGGGACATTTTAGGGTCTCCTATTTGAGACAAACTCAAATGGGATTGGCGGATTCCAGCGACTTCTGCCAGGTGCCGCTCTTGCACCATCATCAACGCCTTTGCCTTCTACGCGCTCAAAGGCGCCTTGGCGAGTTGAGCGATTGCTTATGGGTTCTGCGCGGAGGACAGGTTTGAACGCACAGGATCCAAAGCCCCCTAACCCCTTTGCCCTTTGGAGGCAAAGGGGAAGAGAGAACACACCGCTGGCGCATGGACGTGTGATTGGTCCGTTGCGCATGTCACGGCTTGGACCTGAGATCCATTCGGTTTCCGAGTTCGGAGGAGAAAGCCTCGGTGCAACGAATTCGTGAGGAATCCCATCTTGCCGGTGGTTTATCTGCCTTTTGTTCGGGCTTGAGAACGTTGCTGCTCATGCGTGTTTTAGCAGTGATGGAAGTGGCCATGTGAGGGCTTGTAGTTGTCATAAAGGGAAGCCAAGGAGGACAGGCCATTTTAGAGGCCCCGATTCCTATGTTGAGAAGCATGTATCAGAACTGGAGACCTCTTATGCTGAAGGCTGCCGAAAGCAAGCCCTTGCTCGTCCCTCAGTGGGTTGCTTCCTTTTTCCCCGCGTGGGGGGCGGGGGGAAGGAAGGAGGAGGTGTGAACCCCTTTTAAAATCCGCCAATAGAAAGGGTGCCCCTTTTGCTATTTTGCTATGGCCACTGGAGGTCTGGGTGAAGTTACTTACTTCTCTGAAAGATTGATTCATCCTGCCTGTCAGAACTCAAAGCCATCCTCTTTTCAAAGCTACATTGGATGTGGCTCACAAGTGCAGACCTCCAACTGCGGCCTGTTTGCACCTTCGACTCCATTGAGAGAGATGTCAGGTGTGTCGGCCTGCAATAATTAGTGGATGCGTTAGAAGCCGTGCGTACGACCTGAAACCAGTGCTTTCGTGGCAGGCGACCACTTCAAGAAGCTCTTCCTGGATTGGTCAAAGGGAAAGGGCGCGCCGTATCTGACCAAGCTGGAGTGACGCGAGATCCATCAAGAGCACGCGAATCGGGCCGGAGAACAAATCCAACCTAGAAGGGATTGGCAGACTTCCCCATCGAAGACATGGTTCGGAGTTACCTAGCAACAACTAGCCTGGGGTTTGTGCCAGAACTGATACTATATGGTTGACTTAAATGGAGCAGCTGGTCAGAGCATATTCTCATATTCTGATTGGAGCACGCAGGTGGGCCAAGCATGCCGCGTTGGATCTGCTCGCTTCCCCGTTTTGCCCCGCGAAACGGGCCGGAGATGGCGAGGGACGGAACGAGAAGGATGGGAAAGATGCGCAGAGGCTGGCGATGGATTCATCTCAAAGCTGGGGACCCCAAATATGGTTGGCGTCCTTTGCCTTTTCCTTCCAAAGCAACTAAGGGGGGCTTCCAAACAAAGACACATCCACATGACACTGGGAAGTAGGGGTACTTAGAAGTAGGGGGTCTTTGGTGCATTGCTTTCCATCCTGAAACCTCAGGGCATCCCTATCCCCCTAGCTGTGAACGGACTATACAGGTCTCGTTTGGTAGAACCCGTCAATAAATCCCCCGTTTAGAAACCCGCCAAGCCACAGGAATCAGGTGTGGGTGCTGTGTTGCTGCTTCATGAGAGGCCCTATGGAGTGATTCATGTTTTCCGGGCCATGCGAAGGACACTTGCTTCGGGGCTGCGTGGCCGGCTAGATGAACATTAAGTGCGTGCGTGGGAGGGCAAAGTGGCATAATCTACCCCCCCGCCCGCCGAGAGGGATGGACAATGGGTCCACAAATTTTGAGCATCAGGTTGGCCAGTGTTTCCTTTTGGGGCGATGTTTAACGGGGGCATTTTAATGTGCCATCAACACGCTCTTTGACTTGGGGTTAGGGATGGCCATGGAGCCGTTACTGTTGGGAATTGAGACTATTACCAAGCACATGTCAATCGGCTGGGTTGCTCTAAACTGTTCCAAAACACTGCCCAATCGCTTGGGTAGAACGTTGGTCTTGGAGCAAAAATCATCTGGTTTCCTTTGGGATTCCTTTGAAATACCAACCAAATGCCTGTCCACCATTTGACGAAACACCTATATGTTAGGCGTTTTTAAAAAGGCCTGTGCGGTAGTCCACACGCAGGGGTGCGACAAACAACTTTCAAAATCAACAATGTTCTTTTGAAACAATCATATTTATGTTGAATATTCTTTTGATAGAATGACTGTTTCTAAACAAGTTTTTGAAACATCTTTTTCAATTAAAAACAAGTTTCACAAATAATGAGAAAGTTTCCAAAACAACTTTTTGGGCATGATGAAATATTTCTTCTTTTCTTTGGCAGCAGGTTAGTCAAATGAAATGGTTGTTGACATCACCGGTCACTTAATCCAGAAGCAATATCTTGGAAACATTTGCTTGGCGAGATACTGAAGGAGTTACATTGAAGCTCTTTGGTAAGCATTTTCATCGCAGCCTGCCCTTTGGCTCAATGGCTGCCCTGGGGCTGGATCAGGTTTTAGAGCTTGCCAACGAATATGACGCGCAGGGCAATGAAGGCCGCGGTGAAGGCGCAGAGAGGGAGCGCCGGCGCGGCCGGGGTCAAGCCCGGCGCCAGCCATTAGGAAGAGGCCTAAGGCAACGCAATCAAAGGGCGAATCTGCAGGCCCGCCGGGCTGGGGCGCGCTTTGCGGTCAAGAAACGGCAGCTTGTCTTGCAGAGCGAGCACTTCAACAAGACAGGGCAGGCGCGCACGCAGGATCACCAGCTACCAGACGCAGAGCTCAGCAGAAAGGTTGCCACAGGCAAAGGGAAATGGAAGACCTGGACGCTCGAAGCTGTTCTTAGGGCTGGGTTCGGGCACGAGACAGCGACCTGCAGACAGGTAGCGAGCGAGGTGGAGGGCGCGTCTGCGAGCCATTCGCGAAATGCTCGGTTTGCTTGCGCGTCGGCGGCTTGCAGGTTTCAAGAACAAAGCTGTGAGAAGGTCGCAGCAGACTCGTTGGCCCGCCCTTTGAAGTTTTTCATCAGAAGCTTGATGTTTGACGAGTCTAGCTTTGCGTTGAAGGTCGGCACAGACCCGGCAAACAGCTGCTCAGTGTTGTGCTCGCATGCGCAGTGGGCCATGGCCTCTCCTCCCAGCGTGGCGGGCGGCCAACCCACTATCAGGGACGAGCATGTTGTCCGACCTCCGCAGATCTTGGCACCAATGAATAGCGCCACAATGTGGAAAACATTGTCGGAGCATCCAGGAGGCCTCGGGCCATGCAACGTGGCAGCCGAGCACACTTGTACGCTAACTACGTGCGATTCCCATTCAGCAAACATCAAAATGCTTAAGCATTTCGACAGCACCCTTCCAGCCGACCACTTATTCCTGCCCACTTTATGTGCGCAGCACAGGAACGGGAACGTGGTAGAACAACTAACGCACTTGCTGGGGAATTTGTCTGGTTGTTTTTGTGTTTCTCGAGTGCTGAACTCCCGGCACGCGGTGCAAGCCCTACGGCGGCGAACGCGCGCTGCGCTGGAGCGGGACTTGGTTTTCTTGGAGTCCGAGCCCGTTGGCGTTCAGGCGGAGTGGGCCGAAGCAAGGTCGCTGACCAGGAGGTTTTTAAAAATGGCAGCAATGTTTGACGCTGCTGCCAAGAAAGATGATGACAGTGCAGCTGACGCGGCCGCCGCTGGCGAGGCACAAGTCGAGCTCCCTGCCGGCCGAGCGCAGCTCCTGGATTTCTTCAACGGCCCGTGGTCAGGACTACCTTTGGCATGCGTGGGTTGGGTTACAGCCAAGAGTGTTCAGTTTTTGTTGTGTTTAGTCTATGCATGCAGGTTTGTGCGACGTAACCTTTTAGACGGGTGTCTTTGCCGGGTTCTTGTCGGCGTTTGGCTTTTTTGTTTTTTGGGGCCAGTGTTTGGATGCAAGCATGCGTGTCGTAGCTTTTTCTGCTCGCAGTCTTTTGACAGCGCCCTTTCTGTGTTGCAATGGCCGACAGCGCAGATCTAAGTGTTGGCGAAGTTGAGCAGCCCTGCGAGAAGGGAGGGCCGCAGGCCGAGGCGGGCCGGGCTAGCGCCGGGCCGCTGGCCAGCGAGAAGGGAGGTCCTGTGGCTGAGAAGGAAGGGCCGCTGGCCGGCGTGGCCAGCATGGCTGACACAGGGCCGCAGGCCGCGGGCGTTTCTGGCACAGGGGCGCAGGCCGCGTTGTTTGGCAACGCAGCCTTGGAGTTCTTGCTCCAGAGACGTTCGCGGAACACTGGCTTTGCGGACTGGATGCACTCGCTGGCCCCGGCTGACGCTCGCAGAGTCATCTTGAACAAGGCAGATGCCTTCGGCACCACGAGCGCAGACGCGCAGGTGCAGCAGATGAGTTCTGTCTTGGTGAGCGATGCGTATGGCGCCCAAGGGCCGGTCGTTGCCGCAAAGCGACAGAAGAGAGGCCAAGGCAGACGCAGAGGGAGAGGCCAGCGGCCGCCGGCCTTTCCTTTTCGGAAGGCTGGGGCTCAGATTCGGCCTCGGAAGCGGAGGAAGTCGAGGCGAATCCTGCCAGCTCGTCCGCAGGACCAGGGTCGGCTAGTTCGTCCGCAGGACCAGGGTCTGCCGCTGCTGCTTCCAGTGGGCCTGCTCCGCCTGCGAAGCGCAAGCTGCAATCCAGAGCCATTCCTTGGGGTCCATTTCAGATCGCGCCGATCGTCCCGGCCGCGGGCCAGAGTGGGTGGGGAGCCATTTGCGGACAGCATTGCGATCAAGGGAACACGCTGTCTTGCAAGAAGGCCGTGAGCCGCAGCAGCGCACTGACTGATGCTGACTGCGTTCTACGCCTGAAACGATGGCTCCTCGCGGGCCACTCTGACCAACAGTGGCCGAGCCACAGGCGACGCTCGCACCACGTTGAGCTAGGTGACAAAGGCTTGCAGGACCTCGCGGATGGCATGACAGAAGCAGAGATGGATGAGTTGGTCGCTTCTTGGAGTTGATCCACAGACAGGCCGCCGGCCGTAGCTGCGTAGCCGCTTTGCTGAGATTCTGGCCATCTGCGTTGCTTTTTGTCTTCCTTTCAGCTACTACAAAAACTGGTAGTCCTTTTGAAGAGACACGTAGCCGGCCGGACATTCCTTTCTGCGTTTCTTTGAAAATGTAAGTGCGTAGTACAAGTTCCTATCCAGTTTGAAGTTTCAGAAGCTTGTAGAATAAAGAAACATCGCAGGCAGAAGTAATAACAATATTACAATACTACAATATGGGTCTGTGTTTTTTTACCGTGTCAGTTCTTTAGTCTTCGTGGGAGGTGGGGCTTGGGCGAGCCATACCCCCGAATCATACCCCGAGCCATACCCCCGAGCCATACCCCGAGTCATACCCCTTCAAAAACACACAAGAAGAACTTGCAAGAACTGTGGCATTTGCATGTGATCCATGGATAGCTGGAAGCTATAGGGGGTTTAACTTCAAGTGAAGAAGGGGGTCTTGTCAAGAAACAGTGTTAGAGAGCTTGACATGTGGACCGATTTGTCCTCTTGGACGGAGAATTGGACGAGTCCAAGGTAGTGCAAGAGGTGTGGCAGGGCAAAAAAGTGAAAGGCGTCTGGAAGACGGTGGGCCGGGTCGGCGTGCTGACGGGGGAGCAGTACGAGGACACCAACATGTCTCAACGAACTGAAGAGCACAGCGGCCACGGGCCCTTTGCCGAGGAGGCGCTGGAAACCAAGCGGGAAGTCCTTCAGAAGGTGCCCAATGACGCTGAAGAAGAGAGGCAGAAGCACTCTGTGGCCGCAGGCCCTGCAGCCACTGTCTTGCGTCCTTACTTTCAGCGCTAGTTCGTCAGACATTGGATCGTAATGTTTGGGCATGCTCCGTCAGGAAAGCAGGAGGGTCCTCGAACATGGACGTGTTCATCAACCAAATGGCCGCCCACGGATACGAAGGTCAGCCCGTCCTCACAGACAGCGCTGAGTTTGGCTTGCCAGCGCGCCGCAGGCGTTTGTATGTCTTTTTGGTGCGCGTTGAAGCCAACCCTCTACTTTCATTTCACGACAGAAGCGTGGATTGCATTTTTTCTACGTTCAGCGCCCTCCTATCTGGATGCGTTCGGAGCGGGCCATGTGCTTCTGAAATTCTTCTTGGCGACAATGACCCTGCTGTGGCTTCTGAACTACTTGTGAAGCAAGAGCGGCGCGAAGAGCTGGCTCAAGCAAAGCCGGTTGCTGCTGACTGGCCAGACCAGCACATGAGGATGGCCGCCGCCTTGCGTGTGAAATGGGGGCAGGGGGCGCAGCCCGAGCTTTTGAAGAATCCTTGGTACGCAACCTTGACAGATAGGGAAAAGGACGCTGTCCCGTTGTTGCAGGCCCAGCTTCCTGCCACACTGATGCGAGACTTGTCCCAAAGCATCGCGCGCGCTAACGCTGCTACGTGGAAGGCAGAAGACAACAAGCACTTGGCTCCCACCATGCTGCCCAAAATGAACGTGTGGCTCGAGCCCGCCGGGCATCGCAAGGTCGCGCGCCTGATGCTTGGCCGGGAAGGCTTGTTGTTCCAGGGGTTTCCAGCGCTTCTCTTCTTGGAGATGCTGGACGCTTTCCAAGCTGCATCGAGCGCCGCCGGCATTGTGAGCCACGGTGCGCAGCACTCAGGCAGCAAGAGCGGGCCGAAGAAGTCGAAAAAGCAAAGCGGCGAGAGGACGGACTTCAGGCCAAAAGATCTCTTGCGCACCTGGCGCCCAACAGAAGTCCTGATGCAAGACGTAGCAGGCAATGCTATGTCGCTGCCTGTGGTCATGACGATGTTGCAGTGCGCGTTTGCTTCGGTGAATTGGCGTTCTGGTGCTGTTAGCCGAGCTGCGGACGCACCTGTCTCCACGCAAGAGGACTGGCGAGATGCCATGTGCTCTGTTTTTTGGGTTGCCTTCTTACTTCTTGGGACTTGTGTTTATCCATTTATCTACCTTCTACTCCTGTTTCCTGCTTTTTTGTGGGTCAAAATAAAAAACCCGGGAAGTGGAAGAAAAACCAGGTATTTGTGGCGAAGGCGCGCTGGCTACTCAATCACAGGCGCGTTTGCGCTCGCTTCGTGCGCGTGGGGAGAGAAGGCGACGAAACAATCCGCGCAGGAAAGTACGGCCGTGAAGGCAACTGCATGCCCTGCAACAGACACCGCCTGATCGCCATATCCACGTTTATGTTAGCAGTTGCGCTCTTTCGGCCTGGCTGCGCGCCGGCACTCGATGCGCAACACTTGCTTGCGACCATAAGCACGCAGAGCATACGCGGCCGGGCTCAGCTACCACGAGTGGGATACCAGATCCGACCAACGCAGGCGTGCGCAGAAGAGCCTGCAGCTTTTCAAGTCGCGAAAACAAAGCCAGGTTTTTGGCTCAAGCTAAATGCTGAGTTGGCTATAGTGTCTCACCAGACGCCATGGCATGCGAGAACCCCCCCCCCCGCCCGCCGCACGCCGCAAACTGCTTTTATGGGGAAGCAAGCGATTAACCGATGAAGGGGGTTCCACAAGGCTCCAGGGTTGCCAGCGTTCGCCCTACAAGGTTTTGCCGCTCAAGGGGTTACGCGCACGTGCGCGCATGTGTTTGAAAGTCTTTTTTTGGCGAGTTGCGCGTTTGGTTTGTTTTGCGATGTAGGTTCCAGAAATTATACCCTTTTTGCTGCTTAGACGAAGCATATATACAAAATATATGTGTTGCTGACACCATCCCCCTCTTATCAGGGAACCTCTTGGGACCTCTTCACAGGAAAGCATGAGAAACGCCACCACGCAGTTGCAAACCAAAGCACAGGCCACCAGTGAATTTGCAAGTCCAATTATCCAGCTCTTTGGTTTTGTAGATTTTCCTCTCAGAAGCTGGCAAACCCCAAACATATGCGTTTGAAACCTTTTTTAGCAAACCTCTTCGGCGTCCGATTTTGCGGCCCTTGGCAAACTTGTTCAACTGAATTTCGGCAACTCTGTTGGCAAATGTAGGTGCGAACACGTGTGTCCAACATCGGACAAAAAAAAAGCTGCGAACCTCAAATAAGAAACATCGAGTTGCACCTGGCGAGCCTTTCCCAGGGTCGATTTGTCGGCTACCGTAGCTGCCGTGCAAGCCAAACTCATGCATGCAAGCCTGAAACCTTGCAATATGGCATCGATCGAACCCTTCAAAGCTTCCATTTGAAACGCCAAACTAACATACTTTGATTGCTTGGCAAACCCTGATGTTATCCCAAAAACCCTTCCCTGCGACGAGTTCACACATTGGGCCCTAAAGACCGCCATGGGGTTATCAGAAGTGTCCAATGTATGAACCCAGGAACAAAAAAGGGATGGGTAAAGCTGGGCGCACGCGTTCGCCGCTTGCCAATTTTGCCGGGCCGGGCTGCTGACTCGTGTGGCCAGTCGGGGCCCTCAGGAGAACGAGGGCTGCGAGAGTTTCCAAAAACCAGGGATAACCAAAGGCTTCCTATGACCTCTTTTTCACAGCATAAGGGGGTTAACTTGTTTAAGGATGGTCCGCCAGCATCCCAGCCTTGACCCACGCTGATTTCGCTGAAATGAGGTATCGGGAAATGGTTCTGCTAGCAACGCACCGAATGTTGACTCTTCGGCTCAACCGCGAGGGCTTTCCTATGAAGTCCTCGTCCTGTTGGCAGCCAGCTAGGAGAGGATTTTCAGCGATGTTGGCACGCTCGCTTTGCTGATGAAGCCGCACTGCAAAGTGGTCAAGGGCATGCAGTTTTGGAACTATCGCGTAGAGTCTCCTGCCAGCAGCAAAGCTGTCCATTGCGAGGTGCCGGTACTGCGACAAAAATTCCCGCAAATCAAAACTGATGTACTGCGCAACATCCTTCTCAATGAAGGCATCGCACTTGTAAAGCACGCGGATGGCTCGGTTCAGGTGCCTTGTTGCAGTGAGGCTTCGATCCAACAGCCCATTCGTTGTCAGGGATGAGGACCTTTCTTCTAAAAATGCTTCAAGCCACAAAAGTATGTTGGTAGTCAGGTGCCCTTTGTTCCACGAAGCAGTTGGCATGTCAGTGGTTTTCTTCCAGTTCACCTTCTCTTGCGTGATCTTCGTAAGATACGGCGCCCTTTTCGCACTCCGGCAATATTGCAAATAATTCTCCGTCAGAAGCTCAAACTTCTTGGGGATGGATGGTGCGGGAAACAACTCGCTGCATAAGACGATCACACTGGCTGAAAATGTTCGCCCAACACCCAGGTGCACTATGTGCCACAGGTCCATATGGAAAAACTGTTCTGGATGCAAAGCGTCATGAGGAAGCAATTGAATCAGCTCAGGAGGGTCAGTAGGTTTCCAAGGGAGCGTTGCACTTTCAGTGGTCGCCCAAATTGGATTCAAAACCCCAAACTGCTCAAACGGGATGTTGGGGCTTCCTGCGTCGCAATAGTGGCACAGTCCAGAAGTCTGGCCCTTCTCGGTCGGAATCTTGAGGACATTGTTGAAGGTTCGTTGCAACTTCCCATTTTTCTGGAGATAGGGCCAATCCCCTTTAACTCCTATAAAGCAAATTCTGTAGCAATTGCCAGATGGGTCGGTGACTCCAGTTTCAAGGGCGTCTTTCATGTCCTCGGCTAACCAGCGCATGCATGTGTGAAAGGCCTGCGGCGTCTTGTCATACAATGTTTTCGGCGTGACCATGAGCAAGTAGCGACTGGTCAGGGAATCCCCGGAGTAGTTGGTGCGCAGTTTGACTGAGCCATCATCATCCCGCTTGCGCTTCTGGCTGCTAAATCCAAATCCAAGGCAACTCTGAAACTGGGTGATCATAATGGGAGCCTTTTTGAGGGTGCGCCCCTCATCTCCATGACAATAGCAAGCCGCCGTTTTTGACAGATCAACGCCTGCCATGTGGAACAAGCCAAATTCAGGATGTAGCTTCTTGTAATTGGCCCAGAAGGTGGACCAGACTTCGCCACACTTGTGTTTTTCTTCGCGCCCCAATCCTGCAAGATGAGACCAGAGGCCACTCTTCAAAATGAATCGTAGCCAGTCTGTTGGTCTAATCCATGGAACTGTGTGACCGCCCATCTTCGTGTTGGTCACAGACACTTGCAATGACAGCTTTTGAGAATGGATTACTTTGGCGACACCACTTTCAGAATGTTTCTCTGATAGATCAGCCCATTGCTGCACACCCGAAGAAACAGCTTTTGCAGCGCCAAGTTCACTGGCTACGGCTCTGGCTGTTCGGATCTGGCTCGCGCAGCTCGCCTGGGCGCCCAAAAAAAAGGCGAACGTTGAATTGTTGTGCAAAAAGTTCACCCTTGAAGCCCTGGTGTCCCCTGGTTTCTCGGCGGCTCTGTCTAAGACCCACTTATTTGCAACACATGAGCTTGACACCACATCCAAGAAGGCTACACATGTTGGATTTGCACCCACGGCTTTGAGGCAACGGCGCCTTCGCCCACGTTGCGCGCCAACGCCTTGGACGAAGGACCCGGGCCTGGCCGCGTTGGTTTGAAGGCCAGCTTTGGGGACCAGTGCAACTGCGCAAGCAAGGGTCACATTCGGGCTTCCGTTTTTTCTCAATCCGCGCGGTGATCACTGATGGTCTATGAAAATACACCCCGCACCTGCTCGAAGGCTGGCCCAGCTTGGAAACATGTGATTGAAAAACCCCGTGCCTGACATTCGGTTTTCCGACTCCATCCCCAGAAGGGTTGCAAGGACCAGCCTTTCCCCGGCAATGCAACGCATTGCCCTGAAACCCCGGCTGCATGGTGCAGGGAAAACATCGGCAGTGTCAAAAAGCTCACTCATCTTTTTTGGACGGCTTATTCTTTTGGAAGTGCCTTTTCGCATTCCTTACAAAGCACAATTGGGGGAAACATGCGTGATGAGCTGCAAGTGCTCTCGTGCTTGGTAGCTGAGCAGTTGTCCGGACCCGGGTCTCGCCTGCCACCGCTTGCGAACACCTAAAGCATGACGGGAAGACCAGACTTAACGGCCCCAAAAGCCAACACAAAAGTTTAATCCGAGACGCTTCAAGGACACCGACGACATCAGCTTGCTCATCTCGGTGCGCCACCTGGGCGTTGGACAGAACGGGGTGAATGCGTTTGAGGGTTCAACGACACGTTTATTGCGGGAACCCTGCCCAATTGGGACTACTTGCAACCGGGGTTCTCCTGGTCAAAGCCCCCTTCAACGCCACGGGCCAGAAGCTCGCAGCAGATAGTGTGCTGCTCATCCATCATGGCCACATCTTTTTCCAAAGTGGCAGCCGACCTGATTTGACGAAACACAGCAGCTGTTCAGATCCACGGGGCCGGTTAGTTGCTAATGAGCGACTTCGCAGCCATCTCATCATCATAGTTTCGCTTCAAATCGGCAACCAGGGCTCGAATCTTTGCTGACTTGGCCAGAATGCTGTCGATAAACTTCTGGAAGTTTGTTTTTTGCTGCTGGGCCTTGACACATGCTGTCTTCCAAGACAAACAGTAGTTTGTGTACTTTGTGTGTGTTTGTTTGACAATAGAGCCTTGCCTCCGAAGCTGCTGTAGCCGGGGCAGAAGCGGAAGCCTCGATCCGGGTCCGGTATTTTGCCAGAGCACCAAAGTCAGCAGTCGGGAGATCAGCCCCATCATCCTGCGACCAGTAATGTTTTTCTGTGTTTGGTTTTTGCCGCCATAGTCAAAAAAGTTTTGCCTTTGGGCAACCTCCTCAAACATGAAAAGCTAAGACCATTTGGACGAGCGACCGCTTTGGGGTAACTTTGGGCTCATTGACTAGCGCTTGAGGCCGTCCTGCGAGGTGGTTTTGCGCATCTCCACAATCTTTTCTTCTTGCGTTCGGCTGCCCGTCTCCCTAGTGCTGACCCAATACTCGGGCTCGCCGCCGTATCGCGAAGCCCTGCGACAACAATTAAGGTTTTGAAGGGACAGCGCAAACAGGTCAAGGCCTCACCAGGTTTGCGGGATCCGCGTTGCACACTTCTATGGCTCCCTCCACCTTCTTCCTGGTCAAGGGTGCGGGGTGCAAGAAAACTAGAAGTTTTGCCAAAGCCAGCTAAGGCCACGTCGAACCCCATTTCAAGACCTTCACCATGTCGTCTTTAGAGTACCATCCTTCCTCGATTTTGTTCTGCTTCATGTCTTTCTTGGTGTGGCTCTTTTCCAAAATGGAAATCAGCTTCTCCTTCACGTGCAAGGATGTTGGGGGAAGGAAGAAACTCATGTTCAAACATGTTCGGATGTTTAGAAAACAACGGAAACACTCACCAAAGTCCTTGTCATACCCTGTTTGTTTGTAGGCCTCGGCCATGGCACCCTTGTCCCCGGATTTCCAAGCTTCGTGCAGCCACGCCGGCACCTTGAGCTTTCCATTGGATTTGGTCTCGCAGAGGCGTCGAAGGCGTGCCTTTGCGGCTCGCATCTCCTTCTCCGCATCTTCGACCTCCTTGGCCATGATCTTAGCCTCGCCTTCCTTGGATCGCGTTGAGATCAAGGTGTCGAACGAGAGGGGTCATCAGCAAAGAAAGTTTTCTGATAGAAGCCAAAACTCGAACAGCTCCTGTTCTTGTTGCGTGTCCTCCTGCTTCGTTTCCTCTAGTTGCGTTTCCTGCTGCGCGTCCGCCTTCTCTTTCTGAGTATCAGGAATTACAATCACAGTCTTCTTGGCTTGGCTGGGGGGAGGGGTCTGCTCATCAGACGCAGTCAGGATTGGCTGGGATGAAACTCGTGGAGCTTTCGGGCTGGGGAGATTGCTGGTCTCCACAGGCCTTTTGTTTGTTTCCTTGGGGCGCTCAGCCACATCCATCACGGGCTGATGCCCCAGCAAGGCTTCAGCAACCTCCATTGTAATTTTGCCCGTAGATAGCAAGCCGTTCACCTTGTTGCGCATTTCCTCCTCCCCAAGCAAGCTGGAGCGCTTCACAAGCGGGCGGGACCGAGGCCAGTCCTGATCCTCACTGCGAGGTGTCCATGGAGAGACCGAGGCCGGAGTTGTGGGCACCGTTGACGCTGAAGCTTTCGCCTGGGCAAGTTATGTTTCTTTGCTGTCATCAACGGTTTTGGGTCGTTTTCAGCAGGGTGTCTTGTCGAGGGGCATCTGGTGTGAGTGTTGTGCGAGACCCCCCATCAGAGTCCTGTCAAGATGGAAACGAAAGCAACAACTTAAGAGTTTGCCTTACCGAAACACTCAGGCTCCTTGTCCAATTCCTTCACCGCATCAAGGGCTGCCAGTTGGGCTTGAAGATCCTGCAGGCAGTAAAAGTCACTGAATGTGATCAAGTCAAAAAACCAGCACAACGAAGTTCTGTCAAACCAATCCTCAAGTTTCCGCAAGTCATCGCAAAACTGTGTGTCAGTCTCGAGATCGCCAAACGTGTTGCGGAACGCTTGGATGTCATCTTGAAGATGCTTGAAGCCCTCGTCGATTTCCGAGCAGCTGAATTGGCGAGACACCATGGGAACACGTGGGCCTTCACGGTTCATCGGCCGGAATGTTCCTAAATTGCAAGCTCCTAGCACACTATAGGGTTGATCAGGCCGGCGAAATATTCGTTTGGCAATGTTGCATGCTGTTGCCAAGTCAAGCTCAATTTGAGTTGCACCGATGCAAAAGCTGGCTTGCGCGCACTGACCTTTGTCACCCCCCGCTTGCAGCCACGAGAGCTGCTCACCCCGACATCACGATTTGTTGAATTCCCTCCTTTTCAGAGGATTTCGCGCTGCAAGCACCGATCTTGATTCTTAGGCGGGTCAAACCTCTATAATTGAGTCAAGTGTGGGTACGGGATTTTTAGAAAATACCCATAATATTTTACGGGTCAAATACGGATGATTCCGGGTAAAGTTACGGAAAATTACGGGTAATAAAAAGCAGGTAACCTAAATACGGGGTAAATTACGGTATATTACGGGACAATTACGGCACATTACGGGAAACCCTTGACAGTCAGTATAGAAACGGCTCAAACCTTGCCAAAGCTTGCAGCTAGCCTACATATCTACAAGTGAGTAGGCAAAAAAGGCCGGAAACTTGAAGGGACCTGGAGCTTAGTCCCTGCCCTTAAGTAGGCACAAACTGAAACCATGTCAGCCTCGTGCCATAAGTCATCAAACCAGGCCGACTGGAAGACCTCCAACGCGCTCGGGAGCTGAGCCGGGGGCAGGGCCGCCCCTTTGCGATCGCTCTTCAGGTTCTCAAACAGGGTCACCAGCTGAAGTCCGAACTTTGGAGGGTAGTTCCTAGGCGAACAAAGAGGGCGCTTTTTGACCCCTTTCTTGGGAAAAGTCTGGCAAGCAAATCGCAATGGTTGTTGTTTTCGGAGTGATTCGGAACCGCTTGCGGCTGTTTTCGGTTGCCAGTTTTTGCAGGTGACCTTTTTTGGTTGTTTTTGGTTGGAAAAAGGCTGTTTTAGGTCACCTCTTTTCCGGGAAAAAACGGCAACCCATTTTAAGCATAATTTGGGCTGGAAGCCGTCGCGTGCACCGATTTCAATCGAATGTGAAACCAAAGCCCCTAAACGCAAGCACTTCAGCTGATGTTGCAACCCGGTTTTTTGAGGAACTACGGGGTAAAGGGGTTCTTCGCAACGCCTCCCTTGCAGCCACCTGGGCGCCCAAATCGAGTCCTTCACAAGTGCCAGGCGTCAATTCCACTTGGCCTCTAACGATTTCATAACGGGGTTCTGTTTTCATTGTTTTAAAAAGGGGCACAACTTTGAAGCACACAGCAAAGTGATCCCAAGTCAGTCCAGCAAGGGTCTCTGAGCTTTTCAACGAAGAGGTTCCACACCAACGCACTACCCCCTCCTTGTTCTTGTAGCGACGACAGTTCTGGGAGTGGCCCTTGGCCTTTGAGCGCTTAGCCCAACCACGCAGCTTCCCTCGCGCAAGCCCTCCGACATGCCGCGAGTTGCAATATGCATAATGCCGCTTTGGGGTTGGCCCCCCGTACAACCGCATCCACCAGCTGGCTTTCCACACCTAGGCAGCCAAGTGGGTTTCACTTTGAAGGGATTTCGATTTCCTCAAGTTTTGTTGATCAAAGATCAAAACTGAAACACTGCAATCATTCATAGTAGAGACACTGTTCCGTGTCCTCCAACCCGAGACAGTTGGTCAACCAGCCAGACCCACCTGGGGTAGTACTCAAAGAAACTTCCGCCAGGTTGTTCCAATAGAAAGGTTCCGTGGACGCACACCACGAGCAAGATGAGGAGTATGGTTCTTAGTTGCCACCAAGGGTTGAAGAGAAATCATAACTATAACTGTCAACATGGGTGTGTAGAGTTGAACTCTTTTGAATCAACGCTAGTTGACTAGTTGCAGGAAAGCTTCCGGCTGGCGAGTAAATTTCCTTCTCGTACTGATCTTTTGCCAATATCTCCAAACGCCGAACAAGCAGACCGGCAACTTGTGCCTTGATTTACTGGGCTCCATGTGGAGCACTTCAACCCGAAAAGGGCCACGAAGCCGCCAGGGTCTCCCGCCAAGATGCAAGCAATGGCAAGCCTCGGTAATGAGAGGTTGGGAGGGTACTGCAGGTTCCAGAACAAGCTAACACATGTTGGGTATGTTTTTGCTAAGGTTCGCCATGCCAGAAGGACTGGTGAGATCCATAGGGTTCTGTTTCCCAGGACGCCCTCGCATGTAAAGGATGTCAAGTCGGATCGCCTGCTTCCAACCAGCATGCCTCATCATTTTCGTTGCCATGGACTCCCCTGCAAAGAACTCCATCCATTTGACAGCCTGCGAGCAGTGAAGAAAGAATTGTTGCGCTTTAGCTTTTGAACCCAACCCAGCCTCTCTTTCATGAGCGCCCTGCCAAATCACCAAGAGTGTGGCGAACATGAGCACCTTCACAACTGATCAATTTGTTGGGTGTTGGGCGCCAACCAATGGTGAACAAGCCTTCGGAGCGTTCAAGCGCTGGAGGCGCCACATGAGGAGATCAACATCCAACATGGCTTCAGCAAGCACTGTTTGTTGGGTCACAAAGCTCGGGCCAACCAGTCTGCAGAAGAGCGGCTGCAAACCACACGCCAGTTTCAAGGACGCCCTCTCACAAAGTTTCAAAAACCAACATCGAACGAACTTTCAATTCAGCATCAAGCGAAGGTGACACACAGCCCCGTCAAGCTCTCAACCGTCTCAACCTGCAACGTGAAACAAACGTGGCGAGGAGGCGGTTCTCTCTCGAGTAATCCCACTTGGCAGCCCAGGCCAGGCCCTTGAAGCTCGGCATCGACCTGAGCAGAGGCAGAATGGCGAGCGAGCGAGGGTAGAGGGGTGAGGGTTGTTCGGAAACGCTGCTGCACCGGGTGCTGCACAACGCAAGGCCGCCCAACTCAAAACATAGCTCACTCGATCTGTTTCTTTTGGTCCACACAAGTCGCTTCGTGATTCACGCGCACGAAGGGCGCTAGAACTTGGTTGGTCAATACCCCATGAACCCTTCGCATACGGTGAGCTAAGCCTGCGTAAGATCGGAACGCTTCATTTGTGAACGGCGTTGCGCTCAACAGAAGTGAAAAAGACCATACACAGGCAAGCGTTAACCTTGTGAAGGAAACCCCAAGAATCCAAAGCTACCAATCCCCGGACACACAGATTTCGTGTGTGTCGCGCAGCAGCACATTAGGCCAAAACACCCTCCGCTTCGCGGAGGCTCAAGCATTCTGTTCCGTCCCCTCGGCATTTTGAGCCTCCTGGCACGCCTGGACCAAACGTTGAAACGAAATGGCACCATTGTGCTTCGCCCTTGCGCACTCAAGCTGAAACTCATCATCTTCTTTGGCGGGCATCTCGTTTTGCTGGTCAATCCAGGTCGCCTGGGCAAAGCAGGTGTTCAAACAGAGCTTAGCCAGTGCAAAATTTAGAAACAAACATTTACAATAACATGTCTTGTTCAGGTGTTTGAGGTGTATGCCCACCCCATGTCAGCGATTGGAACGCGCTGTTCCAGCAAAGGCTCCACTAGGTTGGTGCAGCTCATAGCACAGCTGAGGGAGATTGCGTAATTGGACATCCCAAATGAGAGGCTGCAAATTTGCTCGTTGGTCCCATGCACGCGAAGCCCCACCTGCGCTCGTGTCCAGTACACATTGACGTAGGTGCGGACCCACGAAGTTGGCGCCAAGTGCTCCTTAAGCTGGGTGAAGGTCAACTTGTCGGCCACTTTGGCCAAGTCGTTTTCAACGATCTCTTGGATGACGGGGCAGTCCAGTTCGTTCGGGGTGAACGCGGGTGGTCTGAAGACGGGTCGGGCTCTCCTCTTCGGTGCTTCGTTGGTTGTTGTTGGCTCCACGGCTGGCTGAGTGTCAGTAGGCATTGCCTTTGCTTTGGCCTTTGCTTTGCTCTTGCTCTTAGCCTTGGGCTTGGGCGCGGGCGTCGCATTGGCTGGGGCCTCTGGCAACGGCTGTGCGTTTTCTGCAACGTGTTGCGGCTCAGCATTTCCTTCGCTCGGTTCTTGGGCAGGCAAGGCATGCGACTCTGGTGGGATAGCAGTGGCAGGTCGGAACTTCTTGCACTGCCGGAGTTGAGGCGGCTGGCTGGCAGAACGCTTCTTATTTGGTTGGCTGCTGGTTGGCTCACCTTGGCTTCTGGTCGGGTCCACTTCGGATTTTGCAGCTCGCTTGTCTTCCTTGTTTGCCTTGTCTTTCTGTTTTGGCTTCATAGCAAGTTGCTCGTTCCGGGTGAGAAACTCACAATCATCCTTCAGGGGTCCAAAAAGCCGGATACTGCTTCATTGAAATTAAAAAAACACCCCTTTTTGTCAATTAAATTGCAAATTCAAGCACCTTGATTGGGAACTGCACACTTCTATCATTCCTCAAAGGCCTCTAAAGGACACCCCTTTCGCCCAAAAACGGACCTTCAGCGCATCGACCTGCTCGCCCACCTTGGCCTGATCCACAGGCTCTGGCGCACCTGGCAAACCAGTCAGCTGCTTTCCAGCCGGAGCCACAGCAGCAGGGCTGGGGAGGGTCCAGGGCTGCGTCTCTGCGTTGTCCAGGATGGTAGCACCTGTTGGGTGGCTCAAGATCCCGTCAACGTTTGTCATGGTTCACGGACGTTTCACCCCTGCTAACAAACTCACTTCCAAATCCGGGCATTGTTTTTGAAGGTGGTCTGGGAGGGAAAGGCCACCCCAAGAAAAGAGGTCACACACTCCCAATTTATTTATGGCATTGACGCGGCAACTGCAAGTGCCTGCGGGCTCTGGTTGGCTCCACACAGGGCTCTGCTGCCGCTTCATCTCCTGCGCCACTTTGGCTCGCCTGGGTTTGGTTGAAGCCGCCGAGCAATTGAGGGTGACAACAATTTGCCTGCAACCTTTTAGGCCAGAGGTCTTGTCCATTTGCGGGAAAGGGGCCCCAAAGCCTGTTGCAGCTGGCGTTGCATCGCAGCCTTGAGTTCCGCAACCTTCTCGCATTTACCTTGGCCAGGAGTGGGCAATTGGATGTGTGCAAAAGTAACCAGGGGAGTTTGCAAAATCCACATTGAGTGCGGCTTGAATTTCCAAAGAAACTCAAAGCTTGGAGTTGCTTGTCTTAATTTCAATAAGAGACATGGGGTTGCCCAATCTCCGCAGCTCACGCAGCTCACACGAGGTGGCGGGGTGCTCACTGCCTCTGGCTGCACTGGTGTGGAAGAGGACGGTGGGCTCTTGGCCGGGGCTGGGGCCGGCGGGGTTTTGGTGGTCGAGGCCAACCAGGCCAAAAAAGACTCGCGGTCATCCGGCGAGAACTCATCCTCAGCCTCTTTGGCAGCTGCCTGTGGGGCGTGAATCTAGAATGCCCCTTGAAATCGGTTGAAAGTTTCAAACCTCGCCTCATCATCATCTTCATCCTTGACAGCAGAACCCAAATACTCATCAATGTGCTCCTCCCAAGCAACTTGGCAGATTGCTGTAATTGACCCACTGGTCAACAAACAATGTTTGCGAATACACGGTAATTTGAAAAAACAAGCCAGACTCAAGTAGCCCGTATCCTTCAGCTCGGGATCTAGGAGGAGAAGCAGCTCGTGGAAACGAACATCCTGAACAGGGCACACCCAAGGACCTTTCCTAAGTAACTCCAATTCTAGACCATGAAGCAAAAACGTACAAACAGACCCTGCCTTCGTGACTTCTTTCCTCATAACTTTCCGCTTCAGAAACCCTAGCATCTTTCGAACCCCCCAAGCAGACTTGTAAATCTCTTTGGCGTTCGCGTCCGCCCCGATCATCTCAAACAAGAGAGCGATCTCCCGCTGGAGGGGCGCCAAGTAGGGCACCTTGCGAGCTGGGTACTCTGCAAACTTGCGAATGACAGGGGTGAGCACATCAAGATTGGCCACCGCGTTCTTCCTGTTGGGCTCGCACCATTTCTGGCTAGGAGGGTGAACCAGCAAAGTGCCAGTTTCACGCACCTTTGTCCGAACGGAGGGAACGCCATCCCAAAGAAGGTGCAGACCTTTGACATCCATGGCTCCGGAAACAGAACAGTTCGCTGAACCACTTGAGCTGCGACCGCTCAGGATGTTTGGGTCAAACTTGCCACTTCAACAATGTGACCAGGCATCACGCGCCACGACGCAAACGTGTCAGGACCGCACGCTGGGCAGCAACGACCAACCCGCGGGGCAAAAAAGCTGAGCATGCGGCAGGTTGGTGCACGGTCACAAGGCCGCGCAGATTGCGAGGCGTTCCATTGGCGCTACAACATGTGTTGAAATCAGAAAGCTATTTCTTATGAGCAATGTCTTACGTGTTAATTTATACTGACATGTGAACTGAAAAAGCGATGCCTTGCTTTTTGCATCGAACTCCACAATTCTCATGTGGCGCTCTGGCGCTTGATGCCACGAGCTTGCTCGTTGCGCCCTTGCCCAAAGCAAGAACCCTTGTTGGGATTTTTGGGGAAACCCAAATCAGGCAACGCTTTCCTTGGTTTCCCCAAAGCGGCGCCCTCAAAAAGTCAAAGGTCACAGATTCCCTCAAACGCAATTTGTCGAATGAAGCCAGCTCACTTGCAGGGGTGGGTTACTGGCATCTTCGCGGTTGTTTTTGTTTGCGGTGATCAAGAAGGGAGCCGAAGAAAACCTGATTCAGACAGGAATCTCTTTTGATTTTGCTGCGGTTGTCGTCAAGTTTGCCGCGCTGACCCAAACCAAAGCTGACTCATGGGAAATCGGCACAAGGCAAAAAGGGAAAATTGTCACCCTCCCTCTGCTGGGGCCTTTTGTGCGTCATATCTTTTTTTGGACTCACAGGGAATCATCAAAGGTGTCAATCGCCCACCTCTACAAACGGGAGTTGGAGATGCAAATGTTTGAATGAGCTCCCTATCAAGGAAGAACGGGCCACGCGATGCGCCCTCCAGGCATATGTTTGTCTTTTCGTTTGGTCATGGCAAAAAAAAACGATGGCAGTCGTGAGAAGTTCGTTTCAAACCAAGTAAGGGGGAACACATTATAATTTATAACGCATAGCAGGTTCTCTGACAAGTTCCCAAGAGACTTCCGGACAAACATGCGCGTGAGCCACAAGCACACTGAAACCTTTCAAGAAGCCCCGCCCGCACTGTGACCAAAACCCCAGAACGAACAAGCCACTATAGAAACGAGGGGGGGGGTGAAACAGCTGCACAACTGATTGTTAACCCATTGAAGTGTGCCCAAACGAGCAAAAAGAAGGTAAAAACGAAAAAACCGGGTTTTTCCTTCTAAACCTAGGTTTTGAGCAAGCTTGAGCCAAAAACCTGGTTTTTTTTCCTCGACCTGCAAAATGGCAGGTTTTTGGAGTAGAAGGTATCTGTATCTCTAAAGCCGCAAAAAAAGATGTGATGTGTAATGTGTAATTTGTAATTTGTAAGCGGGTTCAATTGTTTCGGGAGCGCTCGCTCTTGTTATATCGTAACTGCGAAAGCTCTGCAGGATGTCGCCTCTGCCATGGCCGCACTCCGGGCAGTCGGGCTGTGCGAGGCCGCGGGCCATGGTGCTGAAGATCCCGAGCTTGCAGCCATAGTGCCAGAACCTCCAAGCAGAGGGGTGGCCAATTTGAAGCGCAAACTCAAAGAGCGGAAGTCGCAATGATTTTCCGCGGAGTGTCGGAGGGGGAGAAAAAAGGGATGCGCAAGGGCATGCCGCTGGTGCTTTCACAGGTTGCTTTTGAGAGGCTCCTTCGGGGCGAAACTTTATATTGGAGAACGTTCAACATTGATTTCACCAATTGCAGTGATCATGCGCAGCTACATTTTTATGTTGAAGTGGCCTTGCTGTGGCTTGAGCCTAGGTTGACGCGCAAATTGGCTTCTTTCAAACCCTTGCCCGGAAATACTGAATATAGTGTCATCGTGCCATGAGGCCACTCTATCATGGGCTTGCCATGGGCTAGTTCCCCAGCGCGTTTGACAATAATTCTACAAATGAAAACAAATCAGGCACAAATATGAATTTGTTGTACAATGAAAACTTGTTTAGAAAGATTCAAAAACAACTTGTTGCTGTTTTAATACTTTAACAGAATGTCTGAAAACAACTTTATAGAGAATTCTTACTTTTTCAAAGAAGTTGAAATGTTGCAAAAGAAGTTGCCGAAAAGAAGTTGTGAATTCTGTGGCTTGTTGAACCTGGGTTTAGGCTCCAACCCACAGGCCTTCTAAAAACACCCAACCTATATGGCTATGATTTCAATAGGCAACCAGATCGAAAGTCGTGGACATGAATGCCCACCCAAATGAAGTCCATCAAAGAAAAGGGCCCCCAATTGAAACTTGTTCCCATATAAAAGGAACTCCAGGGCTCCATCCGGCAACAAAGGCCTTCTGCTGCGCGCTGGCGGAGGTTTTGCTCAGGCGACGATTCGGGGCGGCGGCTTGCAGCGGGTGGGCGGGCGGGCGGGCGGGCGGGCGGGCGGGTGGGTGGCGCAGGCGGTGCCCAGCCCAACAGAACAAGCTAGGGGTTGAACTTGATGAAGATGATCTGCTATGCCATTTACTCTAAATTGCATCCAGTGGAAACAAATAATATTTTTGAGATTGAAGAAAAAGAGAGGAACGTATCAGATCACATCAAGCTAGGTCCCCACTCCCTTGCTTGTTTTTCTTGTAACGACTATTGGGTTTATGCCAGCCGACCCATTTGTTTGATGAAAGCCCAATGCAAGCTCCCAAAATAGGGTCAGCTGCCTTTTGGTTTCCCTTGAAACCAACTCCCCAAAGGGTGCCCTCCCATTAACAAACGTGAAACCTGAAAGAAACCCCTGGAAGGCAATTTTCCTCTTGCCAAATGCCAGGTCCCATTTGTTTTTGATGCGCTCATTGTTCAGGGCAACCCCCAGACCCCCAGTCTTGGCAGTGTGCCTAACAGAAACGCGCCCTCTCGCCGTCGCCGCCAGGGCTGACGCCAGACCTGGATGTGGACGTGCTGCAAAGCCATCCTGAGGCGGCGCCAGATGCTTCTGGCACTCTTACCCAGCTGGGTAGGTGGAAAAGCCTTTTCAGACGGTGATGTGTTTGTCTTTTGGTTTCCTGTCAGAGCTGCTGTTTCCACACATGGCGGATAGGCACTTTTTTCCCGTTTCTTTTTAATTGTTCCAGCTGGTTCTCCAAAGCAAAGGTCGAAAGGGTCCCCTGTTTCCACGCCGGACCAAGAGGAGCCACCTCAGATTCCTACACTCTTCAGGGCACCTTTATTCTTCGACAAAAAGGAGGGAGCAAAGGGTAAACCCTGGTCATCAGCCCTGTTTTATTCGCAGGAGTTCTGTAGGCGCTAACCCGGATTTGTTCCTACGTGCTTGTTCCATGATTGTCGGACAATCTATGGCGCGCGATTCCACCGATTCGGGGAGAAAACAAGGAAACACTCATGTAGGCCCCAAATCTTTCAGGTTTTGGGAATTTTACAGACGGCGGCCTTTTGCAGGTGCCCAATTTGATGCTGCCGGACAAAATTGGTGCAAAATACTCTCCTGGTGTGCGTTTGGGGAAGCCCACAATGGAGTACCGCAAAAGGAAACTCCTCCAAAATTGATGGTTTGTCTGGGTTCCATGTCAATCTGGGGAACAGCGTGAAACTCCTCCAAAATTGATGGTTTTGCTGGGTTCCATGTCAATCTGGGGACCAGCGTCCGCTTCTTGCGACTTGTCACTGGAAGTCAAGATGTGGTTTTCCTTGCAGCGGTGTCGCACTGCCGATTACGCATTTGGATCAAGGGTCTCCCGAACTAACTTGCCTCCAGCGCCACCTGCTCTCGCCTACATCTATGCTACAAAGGGTTCTGGGATTACTTGCATGCCCAGATCAGATACTTTTGCCGCGGCACACATTCGGAGAGTAATGACCATGCAGCCAGGGGGAGGCTTTGCTTTATCAATGATAGGTTGCGTCGCAAGACTCACCACAGCAACTCCCCCTGAGGCTAAGCCGCTCACTGGCAATCCAATAACACACAGAGTTCACGACAAAGTGCACATGCTGAAAGTATATTTGCTAACCCGGGGTGCGGTGATTCATCTCCAGGGCTTGCTGCTGTCCTCCTCTTCGAGTTCCTCCAAGGCGCCGAATGGTGTGGGTGCAGCCCTGATATAAGGGTTCCTGGGTACCCTTTTCACGTTTAGAGGCAAACCAGAAGGTGTTTGTTTTTCCGTTCCCTCACTTTTGGGCCACCCCACAATCCGGGAAAGGTATTTTAGAACCTGCTCAAAGGGATTCTTTGGAGGGGTTTCTAAGAACACATTCTTGATGAGTAGAGGGGGACTTAATGATGCGGACAGCTAGGAGCTTTCTGCCATATGGGCGTGTGTGATTTTGAGAATGTACCCCTTCACATTCCTCTAAAGGACAACAGAAGAAAAACCACCATGTTTGCGGTCTCCCTATCTTGACAGACCGATACAAAGAAATGCATTCTAGCGGCTTGTGGCGGGTTGGTTGCATGATGTTGGGACTGCGCAGAGCAGTCAGAGGAAGTCGGCAACAGCAAGGTCACAGTACAAGGCCTTTTTTGTTCTGCCACGGTCACTGGGTTGAGGTTTCCTACTTAAGCAGCGGGTCCCGACTTTCGATGCCTTCCAGCACGCACGCACCGATGTTTCGGTGGATTCCCTAGAATATTGCAAGTGAACCAACTGCATGTAGCACCTCCCCCTCCTTCCGCCCCTTTGCCTTCAGCCCCGCGTCCTCTAGGCCGTTCCTTTCCGAGGGGCCGTGCTGGAGCACAAGGCGACGGCCGTGCGACTTGTCTTTTTTGCGGGACCCCGAAAAAGAGACGAACGCACAGCCCCCATGAAACTGGCAATATTGCTTGGATTTGCATGAAGATACAGCTATTGAAATGGACTACCGGGATCAAGACTGCCAGAATCAATGGTGACTAGCTTCTTCGGAGGGGGGGGGGACAAACGTGCTAGTTTCCACGCACGTATTTGGAGGGCGCGTGCATGGTTGGTGGCGTGGAAACAACCTACACCGTCCGCTTCAAACAAACACTAGGGTGCCCTTGTTTGGATAAGGGGAGGACAAAATCAAAATGAGGGAATGGCGCCATGACTTTCACGCAATGGCTCCGCGTGAAAGGTTGCCATAGGCTCTAAACTGCCACCTTGATGCATTGCTTTTTGCCCCCCGAAATCGGGTGGGCCGGGAAACTTGGATGGGCCATGTCCTGGGGTTCCATGTTCTTTGTGACATGCTATCATGGTGACATGTCTGAATGAGGGCAGCCTCCACTGGTACGCAACAAACACGTCCAAGAAAGAATCCTCACTTTTCTGCGCACCACACCAGGCTGGGCAGGATTTCTTGATTCACAAAGAGAATGCTCTCACTTCGGCCCCTCTACTTGTGCACGGTATCACTGTTGTGAAGGGTAGCGCGTTCGCTTTTGAGCCCGAGCTCGCTGTCTCTGGTCATTGTAGCAATGATGGCACGGTTGAAGCCCCAGGTGAGCCTCCATCAAAAACCCGGGTTGATGAAGGTTAGTAGGGGACAATCCCAGCCATGAATAGGTGCGGCCGCCTTTTCATTTCCTCACATGGTTCTGGGTTCGCCATTTTTGTACCAGGTTTTGAGCGTGACTCAGGTGTTGCTTGGAAGGAGCAGTGATTGTCCTGTCATCCAACCCGGAGAATCCGTGATGCCGGGCTGGCACTTCCCCTGAAGGGGCAAACCGAGCTCATCTTCCTCCTTGTGACAGGGGAACCCCCCCCTTTATGTTCCACCCGCGTGGCGCATGTCTTAAGATTGCGCAGAGGCCTTCATTCTGCTTTCCCTTCAAAACGAGGGAGCTGGTCACCCCTTTAGGTGGGATCCCAACATCCCGTTTGGGTTGCCATACTCTTCTTTTCCATGTTTGTGGATTTAGGGTACCGACTCAAATCAAGCACATGCATCTGACGCGCCAGGGCAGCCTTTGGGTCACCATGTTCGAGGTGGACCAGTGCTCCGGATTTCGCCTTTCTGCGGCCGGCTGGCCTCGAAAATCCGGGGGAGGCCTGTGGTTTGAGGGGCCAGCTAGTTGGAATGGGGATCTGAGGTACCAGGTGCCATGAAAGCAAACTTAGTCAGAATACCAAATTAAGTCAGTAATAGTCAAGACTTGAGGTGATGTAAAGTCAAATCAAGTCAGAATCATAGGATAATCGTGTTTGCAATTGTTTAGCTCCTGCAAAAGGGCCCCTACTGGGGTCTGGGTAGCTGTTTCCCCAGATTCAGCAGTCCTGCCAATTTCATTCAGCTCGACTCTTGCTAGCTGCAATCAGACTCCAAAATGTTTAAGTTTACATATGGTTGGCGTCATGCAGGGAAGCTGGCAATGTCACCAAGGCAAAGCAAAGGTCCAACTCCGAACCCAACCGTGCAATTGTTAACCAAGACAATGGTACCCGTGCAAGTGTCAAAACTAGCTGCCACACTGTGGCACATTGCTAAATGGCATCCTTTTGGTTTCCTGCTCCCCCGTGTCCAAAATCTTGAGACATCTCCAGTTGAAGAAGTAATGGTGGCCGATGACCTTTTGTGAAACAAATCACATCTTTTTGTTGTGTAGCAGCTGCTCATGTCGACCCTTGATGGACACAACTGCAGGTCATCAATTACAGGACTTGCCCTGGGAAATAGCACCTAGTACACAGGGGGTCCGAATGATAATAGCGGGGTCATTGACTTTTTTGTGTGGGGCCTTTTCAAACAGATTGCACTGAATCAACCATGCCGTAAATACAGCTAATGGGTCACTTCCTGGAAATGGAATCAAAGACAAGAGCGGTTTAAGAATAGTATTGATGGCTCATTAAGTAGTATTGCGACAAGACACGGTCTCTAAATAAAGCGAATGATTTGGGTCCACTTCCTGGAAATGGATGCAAATACAAAATCAATTCAAAACGGATCTCCCTCTTAACAAATTAATCTGTCAAAAAAGCACAGCTGGATCATTTCATGGAGACGGATCTTACTACGATTTGACCGCAGTAATTGCACAACCAAATCAAAAGTAGTATTGCTTGACTTGCTGGAAGTTGACCGTGGTACTAAACAATTCAAAAGTAGTATTGTTAGGCTTCCTGGACTCCAACTCCCAAAATGGTCACTTTGAATGAAATGTTGTTTTAGAGGAGTCTTGGCAGGGGCGGCCTTTACTAATAGTCAAGGCCGTAGCTTCATTCAGGGTATGGGTGTATTTATGACTTTGTCGGGGGCACCTTGCCTGATTATTTTTGGATGTTGTTTGAGAAGGTCTTAAATCAAGAACTCGTCATGGTCGGTTCGCCAATGCTTAGACCTAGGGTTAGGGTTTGCAGGGGGGTCCAGCTGGGTGGCTGGACTCCAAAAGATAGGCTTGGGGATGGTGAGACAGTTATTTGGGGGTAACAAACATGTTTATGCGCCTTCCGAGATCCATACACTGAGCCTGGAGCAGGTTTCGTACGACTGCCTCGGAGAGGTACTGGTTTGCCTCCCCCTTGCCAGGCGGGCACGCGAGTCATTTGGGGCGAAGATGTGAAGAGGCCCACTGTCCGGTCGATGGAAAAGCATCAACGCTGTTCAGAGTTCCCATGCCCAGATGTCGTAATTGCGCATCCCCTTTGCCTGGCAAAAGGTTGGTTCCGGGAAAGCGACCCTGTAGATGTTTCGGAGAAACCAACCAGGGCCTCCCACTCACAACCCTGAGGAACCCCAAAACAGCCCACATGCCCGGTTGGAGCCAGTCCGAAAGCTGGGAGCCCTGTCAGGACAAGGCGATGAGAGTCACAAGGCCGGCGGCAAGGGCTGAAGAACCCGGAGGCATGTGTCAACAGAAATGCACATATGTGTACCAATACATAATATATGCATGTGTATATCTATATAAATATATTGTGTACTCGTCCGTGTTTGTTTTACAAGATGCATGTCAACACAGTATATACCCTCCCTTCCAGCCACATGGAGACAGGCATCTTTGAGTTCAACCCATCTTGATGGACCTCAATCTGATTTTTTGTTGGTATGTCTCAGATTTGGGCCAAGACATGCTGGCAGACACTTAAGATGACATTGTGAAGAGCGTTTTGTAATCTGGGAGCTGGGCTTGCAACCACCCCGAGCCGAGTTTGCAGCCCACCAGAGAAATGGGACTGAAGGAAACCTGTCTCCCCGCTTATTCATTGGGAGACTTATTGATCAGTGGACATTGGGTACCCTCCCAAATGAAGAAGGATGAAGAAGGTTTGGCATGATTCCAGTCTTTGGCAAAGCTGCTTGTTCGCTTTGTTGCTCTTTTGTGAAAATGACAGTTCTCTGCGATACGTCAGATGGACAAAATGCCACTTCGAGCCGCGCCAGTTAGGAATGCATTTTGTCCAGCCACAGCATCGATGACTTGATCAACTTTTGGAAGAGACAGCAGTAGTTTGCTGGATCAGCTCTAGAAAAGATGACCGGTACTAGTAGGTGACCCCCTAATTAAGCAACTTATTCAGAGTCTGCGAGCAGCATGAAGACAGACTGACAGCATCCCACTCTTTGGCCCTGAAAGACTTCCAAGCGTGGCGAAAACCGTGGACCACAAAGATCGCGCAAAGTGGCGCTTGGTTTGCTGCAACAAGCCACGAACCAATACATTGACGCCCGCCATTGCGTCCAACCGATCCACTTGCGGCTCCTGCAAATAGCCATATGACACAAACTCTTTAGGTCGGGATGGTCGGGCAGTGCCTTTAAGTTTGAGTATCCGCTTCTGCCTCACCGTGTCATGTCATGCAGGAGCAAAGCAGCTGATTCAAAGCAAGCCGCATAGGCCATACCCGCTCTGGATATATTGAGTAAAGAAACCATGGCAGCATCGGGGTCAAATCAATCGTTTACGCATGGTTCTTGCTTTACACGGGTCTGCCTTGGGTGAGTTATTTGGATGGTGAACCATTGCATGGGCAGTTGGCAGAAACGTCGCTGGAGGCCCGCTGGATCGGGACGGAGCAGGCGGGCTAGCCGTGAGAAAGGGGACCTTTGGTGTTTGCCAATCCCCAGCGCGTCAACATGACAATGACTTCGTCCTAAAACCAACCTCCTTGTAAATCAAAAACCCTCAAAAAAGAAGGATCTGTCTCGAAAACCTGGTTTTCTGGCCATATAGCCTTCAAAACCGGGTTTTGGTTCCCAAAACAAGGTTTTGTACTTCAGAACCCCTAAAAAACCCGTAATTAACCCGTACAAAACCCGTAATTAACCCGTAAGAACCCATAATCTGAAACACAGTGTCCGAAAACCAGGTTTTGAATTCGAAAAGCAGGTTATTTGCCAGAACCTCCTTTTTTCCGGGTTCTTGATGTACAAGGCTGAAACCAATCTGAAACCAATTTTTGGAAACCAACCTGAAACCAATCCCTACAAACCCCAGTTTTTGCTACCGGGTGCCTGTTTTTTTCTCTTTTAACTGGTACTCTTTTTGGGGTTGGTTTGAAAGGAAGCAACAGGAAACCCTGTTTTGGGGTCCCCGTATTTTGACACATACTCGCCCTTCCCCAGTCGTGCGATGTCAGGTGGCGCTCAACGCCCAGCGCATCGTTTCCTGTGTGAAGCGGCCTTCGCCGCTGCAGGCGAAGTGGATCGAAGGACCAAACGCGACCGTTTGCCGCGACGGGGGGTGGGACCCTTGCATGTTAAACCCTCGGCTTATTTGGCGGCGTGGTTTTGGAAGGTACCCTTTTAGGTGGTTTAAAGGGAAACCAAAAGGACACAGCCAGGGCGTGTAGGCGTGCGAAGCCAAAACCCTTGGTGCGAAGCAAGTTGTTTTTCCATGCCTACAAAAAGCGATGGTCGGTTTCCTCGTTCGAACTCACGGCACTGGTCGGTCGAATTCTTGCCAGGCGGAGCGAGCCCAATTGGCTCATGGCCTGGGCACCGGCGTGATGGCAGGCATCGCCGTGACCTGTCCCTTTCAATTGGAACCTGAAAAACGGAAAACATATAGGAAAACCCAAAGAGGGAGCCAAAGAAGGACACCCTCAAATGACATGGAATCCTTGAGGAGAAGATTTCTGCACGGTGGTTTTGGATTCCACAGTCGTGGAATTTCAGGTACCCCTCATGGAGGATCCATAGAATGCCTTCGAGGGGACCGCTTGCAGCTTGTCGCGGGTTGCTTGATCGTGGACTTATGCGGCCCATCCTCGGATCACAAGGGAAGAATCGCGTCCCCCTAAAATTCGCTAGGGAGCCAAATGATATGTACTAAGATAATGCGGGGTCAGATGGCCACCCCCAAAAGCAAATGTACTCATGCCTTGAAGCGGGCCCAAGTAGTAACTTTGTCAACAGAGTGTAGTACAAACTTTGAAGGCCAAAAGCTCTTCGTTTAGGTTTGGTTTTGGTCAGCACAGGTAAAGTACAAAAAAACGAAACACTGACAGTCAGTTAGTATGGGGTTGGTACCGGGATGAGTCATGGAGTCCTACCCCCTTGGACTGGGTCGGGTTTGGCAAGCAATCAACTTAATCGGGGGAAGGGATGAAGTGGAGCAGTTTGAGTAACTTGTTTGGGCCAGTCTGCGGAGGACAAGAGATAGTGGCTGCCACTCAAAGTAGAGAACCCTCCCCTTTCACTTTTTGAAGGGAAACCAAAGTGAAACCAACCATCTTCAGGGCATTTTACGGGTGTCCTATTTTGAGGAGCTACCACATGCCCGTGAATTTCAATAGGGACGCCCCTCGGGCACAAGTCCCCATGTAAATCGTTTCCGCCAGAGGGTCCCAATGAACAAATCGCACCCATATGCGCCATGGTCAAAGGACCACTTAACTTGGGGCCGGGGTTATTTCATACTGGATGGACAAAATCCTGCATCACTTTGAAACCGTGGGAAGCCACTGTTTGTTGGTATTTGCATGGGAATCATCATTCCAGGAAATCTTATGTGTTGCAGGATGTCGTCCATCCACAGTATGAACCTTGAGCCATTGCAAGGGTTCCTATTGAGGGAGCCATCACCATGACCTGTACAACGAGTTCTGACCATCCGCCAGTGGACGTCCTGGCGCCTGTCGGCGTGGGCCAGTCGATGCTAATCTGCGGGCCGCAGGAGTCGGGGGGGAGGGGGAGGGGGGGAAGCTGAGCGAAGTCCGGGTTGACCCGTTTTGCTTCAGTTTTGCTTGGTGTTACAAGGGAAACCAACAGGAAAACAATCATTTGTTGGGCCCAGTTTAAGACATACCCATCTAGACCAAACGCGGTATTGGGTAGTGCAATGTTTGGACTTCAGCACGTTCTGCTTCGAGCTGCATTGTGCTGTTTTCTCCTCCATTCGGTATGTACGTGTCATGCAAATATGGAGGGGTGCCGTTTGGAAGCACGTGCCATTTATTTGAGTTTATTCTTTGAGTGTTCACATTAATGTTTACCTTATCCTCAGATGTCAACTAGTCGTTTGGTTCGTTTCCGCTCTGCCAAGCAGTTGGGATATCGATAAATATGTCGACAAACCCTTGTGCGGTTGCATGAGAACGGAGTCTCGGCTTTCCCTGCAGTGTTGGAATGATTGGAAAGTTCGACCGCATACTTCCTTCCGCAGCCCGCTAGGTACTTGCTACCATTATGTTGGGGGCAAAGTTTATGCATGTCCAAGCGGCTGGTTGCTTGAGAATTTGGCCCCTTTGGCTTGCTTTGTGTTTGGAGCTGCATGGAGAGTGTCAAACGCTGACCCGCCTCCAAATGGTGGTCTTAATGTGAGTTGCCTTGCAGCATGAGCCAAAATGAACGGGACGCTGATTTTTCAACCTGTCTGTTTGTTGTTGATGCCCCTTGTGGTTCATGAGACAAGAAACAAACGGAAACAGGGCGGGCGCTGCTTGCTTGAGGATGTCGGGTGTCCGTTTCGTTTAAGCGGTCCAAACCATACCCCCAGCAAGTCAACATGGAAGCCCAAACAAACAAACAAGAATCCGAGCGTAATTACGCTGGCCTATTTAATTCGTTTAATTGCATAGTCTTGCTGCAGCCATGCATGGAGTCGTTTGTCCTTCTCCATCTTCATCGCCAGGGGACTGGCAAAAGCACGCTAGCAAAGCAGGCCAGGAGTATTTTTCTGACTGGAGCAGTGGGAGGTGCATCGGGCTGGGCCGACGTATCCGAAGCAGCTCATTCCGTTGCATCACCATGTAACCACTAGGATTATCATTGTTAAGCTATACATTCAGTGCTTAATGACCCCGCGAACCAGGGCTTCATTGGTTTAGCCTTTGACTTGCAAGTCAAGTTCAAGCCAAATTGGATGCTGCAACATGAGGTAGTCGTAGTACATGAGCCACCGAACTTTGGGATGTTTCATTTGCTGTGCAAGGCGATCAGGCTACTGGTTGTGTGTCCGTGCAGATAGCTAGTTTGAGTTCATATCATTGAGCTTTATTGGCAGTTTTGGCCGGTGGTAGTTAAGGTGTGCGCCTTTGTTTCAAAAAACCAGACTTGCCGAGAATCCTACATGGACGGGTCCTTTTTGCTTGGATGGGGTTTCCCTTCAAAACTGCCAAAATGGCCCCTGGGGGCAAAGGAAGCGACCTTTCTTTGGGGATCTTTTGACCGCGGGCATTTGCGCTCGTAGGTCCTGGAGCACGTGCTCACGGGCCGGAACGTGGACAAGGCGCCGGGTTCGACGAGAACGGCTCCCTCGGTGTTGACACCACTGGGGCCCTAAACCTATTATTAGGCCCTGGCTGAAGAGAATGGCCCGAATAGCTCCCGGTCACTTTGCAACAATTTGATAGCTTTGTGGTGGCTACTTGTGTTTTGCTCTGTGTGGGTTTCTATCAATTGACCATGGACCCTCTAATTCCGTTTCTGCCGGGAAACAAAAGCATACCGCTGGCATGTTTACAAATTACAAATTCCCCTAAATTATCGTAGTAGCGCAACTCACCAATTTGAGTAGAACCGTCCCGATCCATTCCCCGCGCTCGCCCGCCGCGCTTTCCGCACTTTCGCCAGATCTATGTTTGTTGGTTCTTTGTGTTTCTTCCAACGCCCGGATCAGATAATACGAGGTATATGGACCTTTGATTCATATCCACTGGAAGCCTTTCTAGAGTTGAAGTGTTTTTTGTTGGTGCTACTGGGGCTGTGCTCGTGTTTCCCAGTCCAGGCCATCCGCTTCAGTTGCACCACGGCCCCCCCGGTGGACGTGGCGCTGCACCGCTCCGGCGCGCTGGAGCAGCTGGCGGCGCCGGTGCGCCTCCGGGTTTGCCCGGGCGGCTGCGTTGGGGGCGGGTCAAATGGGTACGGGTCAAAATGAGCCACCACCAAACTGCAGGGTTTAGTCAACTTGTTTCCGTTTGCCAGGGCAAGCCATTTTGGGCACATATTTTTGACCCACACCCAAATCCAAATGATGTAATTAGCCTCTTGTAATCTGGAACCCACCAGAGACCCCTGTTGAAGGAAACTGGTCTTTCAGTCCAGGACCTTTTCCTTGTATCTGGCTTGAGGGCATGTGAGGAACGTTGTCCTGTAGCTGTTTTCCTAGCTTCTCAATCCTACCTGCTTCGGAATACGACCTGCTGTGGAAGTCGCGCTTCAGAGAGAAACCGGGAAACCAACACGAAGGCAGCCACTTCAAGCGACTGCGTGTTTGCTTGCTGCGCAAGTCGTTTTTTGCAAGGGGCTGGTCATAGGAGTGCGGTTTCCGAAAGAGCACGAAAATTACCTGTCCTCCTGCTCACTGAATCGCGCTGTGCATTTTCTTCGGGGCTTTCACAGTTGGAGTTTGCTGCTCCCATCGTAGTGGGGAATTTGTCAGTAGGCATTCCCGAGCAAGCTCAAAATGCAAAAACTGCCATTTCCATCACAAAGTTTAGGGGTAAAGAAACCATGTTATGCGAGAAAACCTCCAACCCCTCAGTTAGGTTGCATGTCTGTTGACGCGAGGGCTTGGGCTCCAAAACGGGTATCTGCAGTTGTTTTCTGGTAGGAATGATGGATTAAGATTGGCCAGCACTTCAGGTTGAATAGCCGAGCGTGGGCATTCTAGAAGGGGGGAATGGCCCCTTTCTTGTTCTGTCGGCCGAGTGTTGACAGGCACCGTTCAAATGGTAGAATGCTCTGGCAAGTTCTGCCATGCGCAGCTTTTGTTCCAGGTTCGTTGAGGGTGTGAGCTGATGTTAACGTCGGATGAAACAACCCTCTGGTTGATAAATGGGGGGGGGCAGTCAGGCCAGTCCGCATGAGTCAGAATCGGTTTCCCCACCTCCGCACCGCCTTTCCCTTTCTGGAGCTGATGTGGACACGCCGGCCAGGCTTTGAACCCTGAGAAGGCAACTTGGCCCGGCAAGAGGGGGTTGGATGAGGGGCAAAGAACGAAACCGCGCCTCTTTTCACACGCCCAGTCAACTCCCCCGGGTAATGAACTCACAAAAGAGGTCCTCCAACCAGAGTTTCCTCCAAACATTTTTGGGGGGTTCAGACCGCAGGGGAGAAACAGGGACATAAAAATGAATGCTCACCTTGATTAGTAAAGTCCCCCTTGGCCCCTTCTGGGCAACAGGGTTTCAATGGCAACAGCAGTTTGTTGTTTTCAGCTCAAAAAGGTCCCTGATTAACGCGGGGGGGGGTCCTCCAAGGGGTGGTCTCGATTGAACACCGGGTCATTTTAAAGACAGCTTTAGTAAGAAGCACCTGCTTTTTGGTCTTGCTTTTTTTTTGCTTAGGAGCTGCAGGGGGGTTGAGGGAGGCCCCAAACATGTGGGTAGGGTTGTGCGGGCAACCTGGTTGGCCCTTTACTGTAGTATTGGTGTGTATGTGCGGAAATCTGGGAGGCAAAAGGGAAGCCTTTAATCGGTGGGTTACTAATTGTGCACTGACATTAGTTTGCCCTTATACTCTCTAAAAGTGGTTTCAAAGGACCCTACAATTTCCACTGCTTATTTAGCTAAAGTATATAAAGGGCGTGTTTTGTTGTTTGCGGGAACGCGTTTTGGTTGGGAAGCCAAAAGGAAGCCAACTATTTGGCCCCCCCATTTATGTCCTTTGCCGCAATGGTCACTGTCCTCATCCATACCATTCTTCAACACCTTTCTGGGAATCCCTTTTGACATCGACTGGGGTTTTCGTGCGACATGGACTGGTGTTACGCTTGCTTGGCACAGTTTTGGTGTGATGTAGCACTGGCAGACGGCCGTCGCCTGTGAGCATTTGTGTTGCAAATAAAAACATCCTCAAGCACATTTGGAGATCCCATAGTGACAACCTCCTGACTCAAACCATTGAGTTGTTCTAGACTGGAGATTTCTCCCGGTCTTTCTTTGGCTTCCCCCTTTGGTTCCTCCCTTGGCTTTCCCTTTGGTGTCCTTTGGTTTCTCCCGCTTTCCCTTTGCTTTCCCCCTGTGTGCCCTGGTTTCCTATTTGAAACATTTTGAAACGGGCTCCTTTTCCTTTGGGGCCCATGTTCGACGCCACTTATCGCCAGACCGCCGCGATGCTGCCAGCGCTCTTCGAGGCTGTGGCCATGGCGGAGGCCGGACGCCGGAATCCCCGGGCCCCCGGGGTTGGGGGTGGGTTTTGGAGTGGGTGTCAAATAGCAACCATGCTTACCAAAAGGGAGGCCGCAAAAGGGGCTCCAAAAGGGGGCGTGCATATGACGGTTTAATCCAGACCCATTTTTTAGCACCCAGGTTGGGATTGTCTACACCAAGGTAAGAGCAGATGGCATCATTCCCGCCAAATGTGGGTAAAGGGGATGACTAACTCTTGATGGAACTGTGCCATCTACTCCGGATCTGAAAGATGCTCAAACCACGGCATTCGGCACAGACCGCAAAGCTTTCTGCTGCCAAGGAAAGAAGAATGCTGTAAGGACCCGAAAGGTAGATACTGGCAAGGCATTGGTAAGGCATCCCCGGATTTGATGCTTCTTTCTTACCCGTCTTGATGGGAAGGTTGGTTGCAACATGCATGTGTGTGTGTGTGTGTGTCAGGGAATG